GAAGCTGAAGAGATACCAGCCTCAGCCTGTGCGACGGGCCTGCTAGGTTCACAATTAAATCTTGAGCAAAGTCTTCCAGGGTGGGATGTTCGAGGTCCACAGACTCTGGGAGAGAGGAAATGAAAGCAAGTGCACCCTCCAAAAAGACTGGCAGGCGGGAGAATTTTGTAGCAGTGGCAATGATCGGTTTCAAGAGATTCGAGTCAAGCTCTCCAACTTTGTTAGCGAGTTCGACATACGTCTTGAATCCTTGACCAAGGAAAAACACCAGGCCCTTCGTCTGGCCGTTATTGCCTTTAGCTGCACCATCTTGGAACGCCGATATGAGGTTATCGTGCAACTTAGAAACCATCTTGGACGATGTAGCAGAATCTGCAAACAAAGATATAGCGGTTGGAAGCTTCACCAGCGCATTCAAGAAGGCTTCATCTTTTGTAGGGTACTCCAATGAATCAGTGATACGAGATTTGAAGGCATCTGGGCAGGAAATGTAGCCAGGTTGTGAGTTCTCGGGGGTGATGCAACCAGCCTCATGCAGGCGTAGCAGGGTGAAACAAGTCTCCCACTCTGACTTTTGCCATGATGAGTTGATAAACTTCTGGAAAGGCGAAAGAAGCAAGCTCTGGAATCGCTCTGATCCCCACTCCGAGAATGTTGCGCAGAAGAATAGGAAATATTTCGAAAGCTGGCCTGTGGACACCAGGTCCATAATAGAGCGAAGGAAAGGTAGCAACTCATCCATGGGGGACATTTGAAGGGCGTATGCGACGCTTGTAAGGAGCTGTGATATCGTTTCTGACGATACATCAGACGCCGACACCTGCTGAAGCAGGGACACTTGAATCTGATGAACGATCTTCCAGTTTTGGATTCTGACACCCTTGCGAGTTGTCACAAGTAGGAACATTATACGGCAGCACTCCGAGAGATTGGGATTCGGGGTTGATTTTGACCGATCTTCGATATAAGCCTTGACCGTGTCGAGGATGGGACCGAAGGTATCGGGAGTCGTGGCGTGGACAAGACTGACGACCAGACCAAATATAACTTCTGCAGGATCATTGTGATTTTCACTAGTTGGCGGGATCTGACTTAGAACACAACTGAGGATATCCATGCCATTGGAGTGAAGCCCGTTGTTGACCCCCCTGATAGCATCGGAGAACATAGTCATCAGTCCTTCCCTGTAGTTCTCGGTATCCTTATTGTCGTCGGCGGCTTTCGAGATATCGTCGAAGAGGAATGAGACGGCAGTCTCGAGGGGTGCTTTGTTTTTGTAATAAACAAGGCCGGCCTTTCTGATAAGGAACGACATCGACTCCGCGGCGAACCTCGCCACAAATGGCTTTTGACGTTCTTTCCCGAGATATGGAGTCATGATACTCAGCAGCTGTCGCAGGTCGGGCACTAACAGACGAGAAAGGAACTTGAAGATCCATGCAAGACAGGTGAAACTCCATTCAACGACCTCAATATCGGGATGTGTTGCCGCAACGGATGACACCAGTGTCACTGCCGTAGCAAAATGTTTTTCGAACTTGACGCCTAGATCCCGAGCAAATTGCGCAAGCAAGCTCAATAGCGGCTCCATGGAGAGCTGGTCTCTTTTCTCGATGAATTCCACCAACAGATCCATGATCTTCTCTTCATGATACAGAACTTGCGCAAAGCTCTCGGAAAGAGGGTTGACACGTCGTACGAATTGTGTAAAATTGTCTGAAAGGTTCATCTCGAACCAGTGATCGAGGGCTGCTCGGAAATAAGAAGATGTTTCGTCCTCATCTTCGCCGAAACTGGCGCGGCGCACGCGGTGGATCGGGTCGATTTTGAGCTTGGTGATTCGTGATGAAAAGCCCTCGAATCGATGGTTTTTCGTGGTTTCGGTGCCCGTTTTCAGGCGCCTAACAGGCTTTGCTTTTGAGCCTGTCCCCACCATCTTGACGGGTCTGACGAGCAGCACTGTTCGTGAGAAAGGTACTGGTCACTTTTTTTTTGGCTGATCCACATGGAAATACAAAAAAGTTCTTCGGAGTGGAATTTTGTTATTCCGAAGCAGATATCGATATATATCACGTGCTGATAAGGTGGCCCAAGCTCCTGCTTTCAAGAACCTGAGATGTTCTGTTCTGCGTCTAGTCGCATGTAACTAGTTGATCTTTGATGGCACCTTGGGACAGTTTGGGCGTTTGAAGCAAAAAAGTCACGTCCTTTTCGGGGTATCTCGTCTTCCTATTTTCCACCATTCCACCATATATTCTTATCAATTTTCATCAACAATTTTCAACTTTTTCCTTTGCCAACTCAACCTACCACCAAGATAGAGCTCAAAATGGCTCCCAAATGGTATGTATGTTCAGGTCTGCATATATTCCAGTCACTAACCCAATACATATGTAGTATTGTCATTGGCAGCTTGAACGGTCAGATACGGCGCGGGTTCGCTAAGCTAGCCAAGCTGCAGCCAGATCATAATTTCTCCTTTGCGATCATTCTTGGCGATCTCTTCGGTGATGTTTCAAGTGAAGACGAGCTCCAGAATATTACCGCCTTGATACAGGGGAATATCACTGTAGCATTACCAACCTATTTCACCCTTGGTAACCGACCACTCCCCCTCAAGTGGTCGAAAAGATTGAAGCAACTGATGAAGTGTGTCCCAACTTGTTCTTCCTGGGAAAGCGAGGAACGTTGAAGACAACAGACGGTATCCGTATTGTCGTTCTCGGTGGGACCATGGGAGAGGCAGAGGGTAGGTCCAAACCCGAGAGCAATGCTAGCGGCAAGTTCCAGCCGACATACAGTGAATCCGATGCTCGTGCACTGTTCGGGATTCACAAAACAGACATTCTTATTACCAATCAATGGCCGAAGGATGTCCGTCTAGGATCTAGCTGTGAGGTCCGTGGGGATAAAGAGACCGTGCCGGCTGAGTTGCAATGCGTTGCTGATGTCTGCGCGGCCCTGAAACCCCGTTATCACTTTTCTCGGTCAGACGCGGCTTTCTTCGAGCGTGAACCCTTCTTTCACATGCCAACAGAGGGTCAAGATGTCTACCCACTCACTCGGTTTATTTCATTGCCTACTTTCGGCTTGATGAAAGATTCTATTTATGCCTTTAATTTGGACCCAACAGCACCTTTCCCAAGCAGTATTCCCATAGGCTCCACCATCTGCCCTTGGTCGGCGGCGCAAAGCAGGCGCAAAACGCTCCCAAGCCAAAATGAATCATACCAGCGCTACGCCCCTTCCGACAGAGATAGAGACCCGGGGCACCAGCGCCGACACAAAGAACGTGCCCCTCCGCCAGGCCCAGAGAATTGTTTCTTCTGCCTTTCGAACCCCAACATTGCCACTCATCTCATCACCTCAATCGGCAATGACAGCTATGTTACCACTGCCAAAGGACCTTTGCCCCCAAGCAACTTCTACCCTTCCCTGGACTTCCCAGGCCATATGCTCATCATCCCCTTCGAACACTGCCCGACCATCGACCTAATTTTCGATCCGGCCACCCGAGCCTCGACCTTCGCCGAGATGCAACGATACCGCGAATCCCTGCACCAAATGCTGAACGAGCGATCAGGTGGTAAGCTCGGTGCTGTCACATGGGAAGTCAGTCGCTCAAACGGTATCCACACACATTGGCAATTCCTCCCGATGCCAGTGGAGAAAATCCGCTCCCGGCTTGTGGAAATGGCATTCAAGAAGGAAGCGTCGAACCTGGAATATTCGACGTTCAAGACTGTGCCAAACCCCGAAGAAATGCACAATCACCATATGATCGATTATTTCCGAGTCTTCATTTGGACGCCTACGCCTACGCCCAGCGCTGAAGCCGAGGCCGAACCCGAAGCCGAACCCGATAATTGGTCTGCTCCTGAGCACAAAGGCGTGTGGAAGACTCAATCTGGAGAAGAGAATGTCATCATTATGAAAATCCTGCCGGAGAACCGATTTGATTTGCAATTTGGTCGACGGGTTATGAGTAAGGTGCTCTATCTGGATGATCGTGTTAACTGGAAGGACTGTGTGCAAACGGACAAAGAGGAGGCGACGGACGCGGAAGCTTTCAAGGAAGCTTTCAAGAAACATGATTTCGCGATGGAGGTTGAGGAGTGAATTTGAAATCGGCAGGTTTCTTCTTCATTTTCAGATTCATACATGACAAATGTGTAGTTTGGTATGGTGATCAAGGGATCTTTTGACGGGGCCGTCTTCGGAAAGCTCCCCCTTCGTGTAAAGTACGATGAAATGTGACAAATGAGTTTTGAAGCCAAAATGCACGAATTCTACAGATTCCACACAGAAGGCATATAAGAGATACTCATATTAAAGCGTCTTTGCAGACTGTTTTGGCTGGAAATGCAAAAATCAAGAAAGCTGTACGACCATGCGCCGATACCAATATTGGGCTGTGCTCGGATGCTCGACGCTGAGATGTCCAAACCCCTGCTGCCAGGTCTAGGACTGTTGGGCTATTGCTAAGGTAGCCTAACAGTGCCAACCCCAGATCGCGATCTCTTGGAAGCTTAATACCAGATTCATAGGTTCCAGCACGAGGCCAGTCAAGTAGCTTACGTCTACTGTGTGTAAATTAGTACAAACCCAACATATCCCAATCAACAATCTAGAACCCCTCAAAACCCGGGTCATCATCCATTATATATCAGTTGAATCAAAGGTGGGACATTTCCTGCTAGGCAAAACGCATTATTCTCAAAAGGTTGTCATACAGGGGTATCAAACGAGTCTATCAAAGCTCATCCGAGGATACAATAGAGCGCAAGTGGCAAGTGAGAGAAATGGTAAAAAAAAAAGAAACCTTTTTGATTCAAAGCCCGAATTTAGCCCAGGGTCATGGTATGTAAGTACGTAAGATGAAAGAAGAAAATACAGCCTCAGAATGGTATCAACCCCCCCCGCCGAGAAAAGAAGAAGAGGGGGAAAAAAAAAGGAAAACGTTCTGTTCATGAAACCGCCTCGATAGACGAGGGCCATACTCAAAAGTTGCTAGAAGCATTGATGGTAGGTTTCCTCCCGCTCTGCAACAGACTCGGAGGTCTGGTATTGTCGGGCTCGGGAGTGGGGGCGATGGTGTGGGGGTTATAGGTAGTGTACTGAGAAGGCGAAGGAGCTGAGAAAGCAGGAGGGGGCGAAGAAGGGGCACCGGGGGCGAAGCCGCGGTATGGAGGCTGGGAGGTGTATGATGGGGGATACTGGCTAGAGCCGAAAGATGGCTGGCGCTGGAAGCCTGGTGTTGGGGCTGCGGCTGCAGAATGGTCTATCTCCGAGGATGGGGAGAAGGCCATGGGCACGGGGCTGTAGTTGGTGTGCGGCTTGTATGCAGCCACGGGCGAGGGAGCGGTCACAGCGTGGTAGCCATTGCCTGCGCCGTAAGGGTGGTCATTAGAGGAGTCTTGGTATGCTTGCTGGTCGTAAGGGTTGTGGACTGCTCCGCCGGGAGACCGCGGACCGTAGGGGTCGTGTGCTGTGGTGCCATAGCCAGCTGCTGCGGCTGAAGGTAACATACCAGGCGAGCGACGCCCGTATGGATCTTGAGTGGCAGCCAACGCTGCTGCTGGGCCGGGGGAACGTCGTCCGTATGGATCCTGGACAGCACTGAGTGCCGCCGGGCCCGGTGACCTTCTCCCATAAGGATCAATCGTTGCTCCAGAGGAAGGCATGCCCGGTGAACGTCGGCCATAGGGGTCTTGAACGGGATTCAATGCTGCTCCCGGGCCGGGAGACCGTCGTGCACGCGGATCGGTAGGTCCAAATCCTCTGTATCCGGCCGCGGCTGCGCCCATGGCTGGATTGGGTGAATAGTCAGAGTAAGCGGCACCAGGTGTGCCGGCACCCTGCTTTCGGTCCGGGGGATTCAATGGCTCCATTTCGACATCGTCATGATGGTTCGAGTCTTCAACATGCTTGTCAACGGCACCAGCCCAGGTGGGCATCTCAGGCAGGGCGTCCTCATTGACATGAGCGGCCGGAGACTTGGGCGCGTCGAAATTCGCAGTCTGCGGCGTAGTCTGCTGTGTGCCCCGGAATGAAGGTGGAGCTGGTGGCGCTTGATAGACCGGATTCGGAGCCGGTGGTGGAGGCTTGTGGAACGGAGGGTCATCAAAGTGTTTAGGCGTTTTGTTTCTGCGCCTGCCTGATGGACAGCAACAGCTACAACAGCACTTGCAGCATTGATAGCCACAACAGAGACAATTGAAGATGCAACCTAATACGGCGAGTAGAACCACTGAACCGATGATGATACCAACGATGACGGGCCACCTTGCGCCAATTAATTAGTACCGTGCCAGGCCATGCGTAAATGGGGAGGGCGCACATCTCTCGGGGGGAACTCACTTGCAGTAGGTTTTATCCATACATTTGTCCCAGCTAGAAAAGGTACTTGGAACCGACTCGAGATCACTCGCGGTATCTCGAACCCATAGTGTAATATTTGCTGGACTCATATTGGAGATGAATAGCAGGTGCGCAAGGCGAGAGAAAAGGAATCATCCGATTGCCAATGGCTGCGGACCAGCCTTGGGGCAAGATCCTTCTAGTGTGAAACTAGACGCAGTTCAGTGTGACGTGCCTGGGCGCGGAGATAGTGAGAGGACGCGGGCCGCGATGCCGAGTGTAGTGATAGTAGATAGAGATAATAGAGTAGATTTGAAGTCACAGCCGTGGACAGTAGATTCAATATCAATCGAAGATCTAGCAAAATAGTTGCTAGTTCAAGGTGGATCGAACAGGCAGCAAGTTACCAAAATAGAACATTTGACGAATAAAGATTGGAGATAACTGGAGAGAGAGTGAGACCCTAGAGTGGGGGATCTAAGTAACGAAACAATGAGGCGCAGTGTCTCAAAAAAAGGCCAACACCTTAAAAGAGCCTCGAAAGAGTGTTCAACGGACTGAGGCTTGAAGAAGAAAAGAGAGTTGAAATTGCTGAAACAGCAAGTTTCGAGGAGAGCAGAGGGCAGAGGGAGAGGGAGAGAGAGAGAGAGAGAGAGAGAGAGGGAGGGTTGACACACAGACAAGTCCCCCCATAGTTCTTCCCACTTTCCGCCTATCAGGTTCATCAGAGGCACTTGAAACGACAATCCTCATTAACGCATTCCGTCGATCTTCTTCTTCTTCTTCTTTTTTTTTTCTCTAATTTTTGATTATTCAAGGGAAAGGGAAATGAAGTTATTTTGAAATTGTTTTTGTTTTTTTAATTTTTTTTAATTCGTACAAAAGGAAACAAAAATCAAACATTTGTGAACTGGTTGTCTCCTTCGATTACCCTTTCCAGACCCAATTAAAAGCTCAGGAAACACATCCAGAGAGAAATCGCCTGTATGTTGTAGTATACAGGCAATTCTCGTTATGTACAGCTGTAAAGTCACTCTCGATGCAATATTACATCAACGTCCTCCTACCCCAATGACACACAGTTCAAAGGGGAATATTATCGGACAATGCATTGAAATACACATGCTCCGGAAGAATTGAGCCAATATGACTGGCGTTGAAGCATCAAGATGCAAATTTGGTACAGCGTGGAATGACGATGGATCCACAGTAGAAAGTCTGTACAGAGAAGGACCAAATTGTGGATTAAAGGGCGATAATCGTGTCAAAAGAATGTTCGAGGAGAAAGGGACAGGCCAAAGTGTTGGCAGAACGTTGGAGAAATATCGTCGTCGGGGGGTATTGTTTTCGCGGAGACCCACGAGGGATGAGAAAAGGGAAATCTGGCGAGGATAGGCCGTCTTCGTGCGCATTTTCGGTTTCGAAGTTGCGAGGTCGTTAAATAGACATATGAAAGGGGACACTCAGATTCAAATGGGTCATGAGAGTCAATTGCCCAGGGAAGATTGTGGGCGATAGTCATTGAGAGATGTGGCAACAGGCCACGCAAAGGAAATATTGGAGAAAGCAGGAACCCACGAGGTAAATAGGGCGAGCGAAGGAGAGGACGATACCGATAGCAGGTATCAAAGAGATGAGGGAAAAGGTGAAGAGCGCAGGTGATCCAGCACGCCAACACCAATCAGACCTCAGCAGGACGGGAATGATCGAAAGAAGTTGAGCAAAAGAAAAGAAATAAAAAGCCGCCGTAAAGCATCTTGGAATGCATCAGCCAAACACCACGCTCCAAGGACAAGACGAAAAAGAAAAAGAAATGAAAAAGAAAAAAAAAGAAATGAGATGCAGGAAGATGTAATGCACCCAAAAAAGGAAAGGTACTAGCAAGTGGATTTAGTAGGAAAGCATCCGGCGGCCGGGAGTGCGGGCAGGGACCGGGCTTTGAGAGAAAGGAGAGCTTAGGTAGCGGTTTCGCTCGTTGTCGCCAAGTCGGCAACGTCCAGTTGGGCTGTCCTCCATGGGAGGTGACTGTTCACCGAAGGCAAAAGTTTGGGCGCGGTTCAGCTTAGAGCGCTGCTTGACCTTGCCAAGTCCACGCTCGCAGGCAAATTCGTGCTCCTTGGCACTCATTTCGACATAGTTCTGAGGGAAACAGAAAGAACGGTGTTCAGCAAAGAATGAACTGTATCCACCATCTAGAATGTACATATCGGGGTATGACAGGTGAGGGTAAGTATCAACATTGATGGCGCGATCATGGTGTCGCAGGTACTTGGCCATGATGGGAGCCCGGTGGGCAGAGTATTCGCAGTGCAAGACAAGCGCAGTACGGGATTGGGGAGCACTGAAGAGTTCACCGGCGAGACGTTCCTTGTCGTTATAGTTCAATGCACCGGTGATGTGACCACCCTCATACTCATACTCGAAGCGGCAGTCGATGATGAGAATGTTGTCGAACTGGTCATTGAACTTCCCGTTCATGAGTTCCAGAAGAGTGCTCTTGTCGATGCGAGGCAGAGAGTCCGCGCGATCCTCAGGGATGAAGTGAGGCAGCTTCATGCTGGGCGGGCTCGAAATGTCACTGATGGACTGGACGGGTGTATTTGTCGCTACCTTGGCCTCTTTATCGGCAATAACATCTGCTGGGTTCTCAAACATACTCAATGATCGTCGACATTGCTTGCGGGGACGCATCAAAGAATGAGAGGGTTTGCGGATTGAACTGGGGGCGGGCGAGCCGCTGCTACGGGCATGGTGGAGTGATGGCCGCATACGGGGCGGTGGTCCCAGGTGAGTGGAAGAACCATTGCGAGAGATTGGACGCTCATGGGGAGGCGAGTCCCCAAACATATCTTCCAGAGAAGTCGACGTGCTGAGAGATGTCTTGGCTCCAGTTCCAAATCGAAAGGGCGGTGCTTTACTCTCCGGGGCAGGCCGGGTCTGTCCAAGTTGGTAAGACTGAGCCTTACTCCTAGCCAGACTAGGACGCAGGAAAGTTGGACGCTTCCTCCTGTCAGATAGAAATTTCTGTTAGCGGAGCTGATGTGGTGGCTAGCTGAGTATCCCGTGCACTTACTCAGGTGGGCATAGAGGAGACTCCATCGGAGACGCTTGTAGAGGGCTGGGTAGCGGAGATCTCATTGGTGATCCCATCGGACTGGCCCCAGGTGTCGGAGATTGTATCTCGATCTCGGCAGTAACAAAAAAGGCCGGCTTGTGAGGCAGTGGAGACATTTCCATCACATCCATAGCCGGAGCCGGAGAAGAAGATGGGAGCGGCGGGGTGGTCATCACATCATCTATATAACAGATCAGTAACCCTCTCCACTCTTTCCATTGTTAGTCTTTACTTACCACGTCCATTAGTCTGACCCAGCATACTGGCTGTGAACAAAGACCGCCGAGGTGTGGCTAATTGAGGACTAAATATAGAGTTAGCCGGGCTTTGTCCGTTTTGAACATGAAACGACCCATGGAAACCCTTCCACATACCTCTGGTCAATATGGAAGTTCTGAGAAAGATCAGCAGCCAAACTAGCTGTGGGGGAAGATCCTCGAATGGGTTTCATGTTGAAGTAGTCCGAACTAGACTTCTTCATAGACAATTCTTTGAAATTGAACGGGTTCCCACCAAACCCGGACATTGAACCCAGGGGATAAGAAGTCGATGTCTCTGAACGAAAGCAATGACCGAACATGACTGATGGAGGCTGCATAGCAGCGAGAGGTGAAGAGTGCTCCATGACCGAACGAATTGCAACTGGACCACGAAGCCGACGTGGTACAGTTAGTTTTCTGGGAAAGCAACCGGAACAGATGGAACAGAGGCAATCAGGCCCTGACCACAGATGTCTACCCAGTACTAGGTTCCTACAAACTGAGGTTCAAAAAAGAAAAGAAAAAGTCTCAACGCAGGTCTCCACGTTTGCAATTTCAACGTTATGGGTCCCCACGATCGCCGTGACAACCAGTTCCGGGAGAGAAAAAAAAAAAATCCTAGGTCCCCAGACCCTAACCACCAACGGCGAGAGTTGTATTTGTAAAGTCACAGAATTTATCGGTCCATGGCAAGAATTCGGAGGTTTTTTTTGGGGGTCGGGGGTGGGAAGTAAATATGATGAATTTGGTGAATATGTTCGTAAGTGGAGGGGTTCGGAGCAAGCTCGTGGGTGCTGCAGGACTGAGGGGAAAAGGTCCCAGAATATGATATGGAATTCGGCAATCGAACTGAACAAAAAAAGACTTGATCACAAATGTCGAGGAATGTCAAGAGTAGTTATCAAAAAGAAGAAGAAGTAGGAACAAAGCGGTTTGAAGAAAGAAACCATGAAGCTGAAGGGATGGGCTTGTTGCAATGGGCAACGCAGGTGGGGAGGATCTCCGAATGTACTAAGTAATTGAGTAAATTGATTATTACTGCGGCTCCGATTTTCGACGTAATCGGGAATTTTAAATAATTATAATATTGGGTATGGTATTATTGGAGTATATAGGAGAGAGAGTACATATATGTAAATCGAGGTATGTATGGGAAGATCAGTATAAGGAATCTGTATAATGAACCTGTAAAAAGAACCTGTATGGTAAAATGACCCATTTAAAAAAAAGAAATTAATTAAATTAAATACATATTTCATGGGGAAATAGGTATATTCCAATACAACATACTAATACAAAATGATTAACCAGAGAGAGTAAAGGATTGACTCCCCATGCTCTGGCTAGGGGTCAAATACTTTTTTTTTTTTTTTTTCCTTTCCGTTGCCCGGGACTCCCTTGCCGCAGCAACCCAGCGCCTATCAGAGCTCATCCTTCCATTTTCTTCCGAGTGTATGGAGTACGGAGTACATGGTACTATATCTAGGTATGTCTTGGGTTTAGCTTTCACTCCCCTGCTCTATGGAAGGAGGATTGTCTCTGTATATATTACCCTGTACGCTTTATGTTAAATGTCTAGTTAAACTACGTACTATTCTTTACTACCTATGTTATTTGGTTCTTACAAAATAAGTATCCACCAAAAAACTTTTTATTTCCCGTGTCTATCCATCAACCACAGGTGAGCTGAAAAAAAAAAAAACGGAGCCAAAGAGATCGAGTCTAATGCAGAGAGAATATCCACTTTTCCTGTTCTCGGGAGAAAAGAAAAATTTAAAGCTTCTGCAAGTGATGGGAAAGCAAGTGATGAGGAAGTAAGGGCGCTTCGATTGAGAACGGTTTTCTTGATTGCTTTGACATAACGTCAACGATATACTTCAATTCATTCTAAATCCCCGTGTTGAACAACTAGATCCATTCTCAATTCTAGTCCTGCTATCCTAAGACTATGTTAATATGTTAATATGCTAATAGTATAGTGCTCGATCGACTCTACTAGCCCGATATGAGGCCCCCCTGTGATCATCTTACCGAGGTATTGATTGGCCACACGGGAGAGGCGTGGAATCTTAAGATCTCCTCATCTCCGAAATGAAAAAAATAAATGAAAGAGTTCGCACTATCTAGACCCTATTAGGCAATATCAAGAACCGATCAGAGTTTGGAATCTCTATCTCTTGTGCGGAGTATGGAGTACAAGGTGGTATACAAAATAATTAGAGTCGATGGCCATTCAATAACTTCAAGATCGGACCCTACAACGTAGTATTGAGTAAGGAATGGTAGATAATCTCATTCTTCCTCTGGAAATTGAAGCTATAGTGCTCTCCTCATACATACCCGTGCTGCCCTTACTTGGGCATTCCTGTTGATCAAGGGCTCACGATGGTCTCCAATGTCGCGCATCCCTTCCATCCCCCTTGGTAGGATGTTTGACTTCAATATACATTAATTGCCCAAGGGTAGTTCTATTGAAACCTTCATGTCTGATGGTCTTTGGCGCACTTCTTACCAACGAAAGCAATTGTATCTCAATCGCATGTCAATTGCATCTCAATGGCCGCTCTTGAGCTAGGGCTACCACGAACAGCAGTAAGGATGAGCCGGGGTCAAAAACTCATGCGATGAACGCCACAAACCTGGAACCAAAAGCATGGTTCATCAACACCTTAAAACAGGTTTATCAACACAGATCTCTGCCCAGTCCAAATGGGACTATCCGATGCGATATTTACTACGGACCACAGAAAGATCTCAGATTGACCGCCATGACTTCTTACTTTGTACAGAGCATGGCGTCTGAAACTACTAGTCGCTGGAGTCGGCTATAGTGTGGCCCAGTCATAGTGGACACTCAGCTCATGATTCACCACTATACAGAGTACCCCACGGTGTGCTACTCTAGACCGTCTCGTGAAACACCTCGACCTGCGCTGGGCCATCCTGGTATATTATATCCGATCCGAGATACATCAATCCCTGGTCCTTGGGATTTTTACAATTGGTCGCCCTCTACAACATATGTATGCCCATCTCTTGAAGGAGCTTGTTACGCACCTCTCTCCCTGTGGCCGACGATTGCGGTGTGCAACTCCCACGACGGGGGGGATTTTTATTGGCCCGTGATGCTACGACATATCTACGGAGTACTGGACATCCATCTATCTGTGCTCCGTGCACATTGCAAACCTGATGTGCTAATCATAGATACACATTAATATTAGCCTCGGAAGTTGAATACTCCGCCCGTCCTGAAACCTTCAGGAGTTGTCTCTGATCGCATTGTTTTGATGCGTGTTGATGTGTTGAGGTGCTGATGTGTTGACCATCACACTAGCACATATGTTCACGAATCAGCATCCTCTTTCCAAGCGCTTGCATATACGAAAGTCTCTGAAATGCTGACCGTATCAGCCCAACCCGATCTAACTATCTCACTGCGCCACGGCGGAGTCGCAGCTAATGTGGAGTCGGAGAGGACCCCGATGATGTGACCGGTCAATTGCATCACAACGCCATGTGCGATGGGGCCAGTCATGTCAGCTCTCCAGCCGACTTCTTCGCTGCGGGGTTCATCACATTTCCTCGTGTCCCCGATATTCTTCCCTGCATGGTTAGGGCTAGACTTTTTCCCCTCTTTCTAAGATCTTACCCTCTTATTGTCCAATGTGATGTCACGATGTTGTTGATATGGGTGAATCTTCAGGTTACGGAGTAAACAAAGCAAAGCTTCCAAGGATTTTTCCACGAAACTAATGCGTTGTCCCGTGATCACGCATGACATCAAAGAAGAACTGGAACTTCCAAGGTTCTTTGTATTTTGGTATTATAATATATATTATACAGACTATTATACAGACTATTATACACTTCCTCAGTACTGGAAATACCCTTACCCTAATATGTATTTTCCCCTAATCTTTTCTATATTTGTCAAAATTATTACTTCTTCCGGCTCGGAGTCCCCGATCAGCGCTATTGGTACCCCCCGGTCATCTACGCGCGCCTCCGGCTTCGTGCCTGTCAGCTCCCCTCTCTCTCAATCGTGCTATCACGTATTAGTGTCGCCCTACTCCCTATTTGGAAGCTGGTGACTCCCCACATCACACAGCTCCGATTGTGGGATCTCTGTCAAATACATCCAGTGATAGATCAAGAGGTTTACCTAGGCGCCGCTGGACTGGTATATTCAACCATGTTTTTTTTTTACTGGTCTAGACTTCTTTTGTAGCACAGAATAACCAAATAACCACGTATATATGTATATTTTAAAAAAGAAATAAAAATTAACTGCGTCCAGACCACTCTAAGCTAAACCTGTAGCCAACCCCGTCTTTACTTAAACACCGTGTACACTCCCCAATCCCAGTACTTAACCAAATTCCACTCCGAACCTCTGTACTTCGTACAACGTCTCAAGTCATACAAAGCCGTCCAATATGGTGATACTGGCATAATCAGGCAAGCCCTGCAAGCCCCTGAAAACGCAAAATCTGACACCCGACCCTACATCTATCACAACGGTTGCCAGGACTCCCAGGCCCACCAAAGACGCCAGACTCCATATATTATTCACTCCGAGACCCATCCGCCTACATCCAAACCACCTGGGCAATTCCCACGAAATCCATTCCCACATGTTACCAGCACGACGACTAACTATTCAAAACTAAAAACTACTTAAACCATGCAGATCCACGGCAGATGATCCCCCTCTCATCCGTTCCAACACATCAATTCTGATACAGAGGTAATTTTCTTTCCGAGCTCCATAGAATTGATTCTATCAGATATCAACATGGTCTCGCCCGCGCCAAATTGATAGTTCAATGCATGATTCCTACTTTTTGCTACCGACAACATACTATGAATGACGCTTTGTTCGGCCTACTCGTATACAGATCAGCCCCGGGGGCGGGTCGGTGCATCCGTGAAATCAGCGCAAGCGGAGCCCGGATCCTGAAGCTCGGATCCAGTGCAATTAGCGGATTATCCTCGGCGACATGCGATTGTATAAATGGATGTTGGTTTCCCGGTTGCCTTTGACAACAGGATATTTCTGCGTCTGGGCTGGTGGTTTGACGTTGAATGGTCTGGAACCTGATCTCGTTTTTGGGATTCGTCATTACCCCTGAATTAGTCCTTCTTTTGGATCCCCGGTTTCTCTGACAGCTTCGAATACACCATGCTTGTCCGTCTATTGAAACGTTGGTTGCATGTTGCCATGTCCGATCTGTTGCGTGGTTTTTGAGGTATCTTTGCTGTGGCTTCCAGGGGCTACGTTTGAGAGATACGGAGGACGGAGTACGTACTCCGCGGCCTACTCGGTATACTTGGAGATAGCTGTGTGGTCTTTGGGGCTGGACCTTTTTTTTTTTTTTTTTTTTGTTTGGCTAGGATCGTAGGCTGAGTGCATATAAGTGACTTAGTGAATTTTCCTTTAGGATTGCTATAAGCAGACGAAATCTAGTTTTGTTGGAGGTCTTGCAGTCTTTGCTGAGTGTGGTCGAATACTACAATATATATACGTGCCTAGAACCTTTTGATACAACCTCACACCACCACTCTTGGTTTTTTAAGATGGTCAATAAATCATATCAGATATCCTCTTGAGATCTCTAGCAAAAAAAAAAAAAGAATCCATGTTTAATGAGGTTGTCTGGCCGTTCAACCCCGGTCTCTTGGAGCATCAAAGTCTTTATCGGCTTATCGGATCACGCTAGCCCTGAATAGGCTAAAGCATGAATTTTTCTGAGCAACTTGAACGGCCGCAAGGAGTGTTGAACGTGCCTTTGGTTTGCAGATCTCCATTGTCAAGGCCTAGGAGCGAATAGTCTGATCGCTAATTGAACCTCCCACCTATTTGCCATCCCAAAATCCCCCCAGTCTCAGCAATGGGCCCCCCCTTCGCCGGTTCAAAGCGCCGCCGCGAACCTCACAATGTCGACGTGAAGCTGGTGGAACTCTACGAGGATCTCGCCAGTGAAAAAGATGATATTCGACTCAAGGCTGCCCAGGCCCTAGTGTCACAATTCACTCCAGACCAGAACCCTGCCGATGAACAGATCAAGAAGGTGCTATCGAGACTCTTCCGCGGTCTCTGCAGTAGCCGCAAAGCTGCTCGAATCGGATTCTCAATTGCCTTGACAGAGATTCTGACACAGGTCTTCTCATCAACAAGAGAAACATCACGCTTCACTTTCTCGGATGCGCTGAACCTCTGGGAGTCTCAGTCCAGTTCATACGGCAGCGAGTCGGGACAGGTTGGTGGCCACACATGGATTTTAAAAAAAACGTCGCATGCGCTAACTGGGATATCCTTTCGTTTCATATAGGAACAACGCGATCACCTTTTCGGCCGTCTTTTCGGCGCTGAAGCGATCATCAAATCCTCCGTCCTGTTCCAGCCCACCGTGCCCTTCGAGCAATGGACCCAGGTCGTCGATCTTGTTTTCGAGCTTGCACAGAAGAAGCCATGGATCCGCGAAGAATGTGGGTGGATTATCTACCAGTGTGTCTACGACCTGGCTGCGCGCAAGATGGAACCCAAGTACATCCAGTCTGCACTAGAACAGCTCTGCGTGCGCGACCTCGCCCGATCGCCTGAGGGTGTTGCTATCTGGTTGGCGGCGAAGGATATGTTCCCCGATGTCACCTTCCCGAGCAAGGTCTGGAAGCATGACGACCCTCTGGATACGAAGGAACGTAGCAGCATGTCGAAGATCATGAAGGAATCGGGTGCTGCGGCCAGCGACGGTGAGACTAAGGTGAACACCGCGAAGTCCTCTGGCGTCTGGAACAACAAGCTTCACTTCGCCTGGGATGCGGTTCTGTCTCGGACCAGTGTTGAGGCTAAGGATAAATCGAAGAAGTCTCGTATGACCTTCGCTGATTTCTGGACTGAGGTTGTGGACAGTGAGTACCTATCTAGCGGTGGAATGATACATGATACATATGGAACTGACAAATAGAAACTCCTTATAGATGGATTGTTTGCTGCTGCGTCCTCGGACGAGCGCAAATACTGGGGCTTCCTTCTTTTCAACAGAATTCTCAACGATGGTGCATCGCAGCAGGCCTCTCAGATTTTTACCAAGAATCTTATGCGATGCTTGACGAACCAGCTCGCCGTGGAGGACCGGTACTTGCACCGAATGGCCGTTAAAGTGGCCAAGGCAATCCAGGCCCGCGTGTTCAAGGAACCCGAATTCGCAGCTGCGGCCATCCGTGGCTTGATGGGAACCAGCGGCACGCTGAACTTCGACCAGGCTACAAAAACCAAGACGGTTGAGAAGATTGTTGCCGAAGCCAACTTCGAGGCACTGGAAGAGATTGTCCCATTCTTCGAACAACTTATTCAAAACCCCGGCACAACCGAGGAGAAAACCGCCGCATCCAACCGTCAATTCATCGCTGGTCTCCTATTGACAATTGTGCGCTCCAAGGCTTCTGCCGATGAAGACGATGCCGAAGACCTGCAAGCAAGCCTTGAGCAGATTCTGTCCATTTTCGTGCGCTTTGCGTACTTCATGGATACCGGCAAGGGCTCCACTGCCCCCGAGCCTCCTCTCTCATCGGCAACACAAGAACTCCTGCGCAATCGAATTAACTCCTGCTTGAACAGCCTTATTTCCAACCAAAATTTCGCTGCTACACTCCCATATGCTGTAGTGAAGCAGATTCGCGATGCAGCCAAGTCTGGCGAATTCGGCAAATTCATCATCGCTATCGATGAGAAGCTGTCGGAATCAGTGAAGGCTGCTTTCAAATCTCTCAAGAAGTTGAGCAGCAGGGTATGATTCTTTCTCCCGTTCGATCTTTTGGCCACTTATACTGACTACCACATAGGAGAAGAAAGAGAAGGGCATGGCCGCCTTCAAGCTGCTTTACTCCATGACTATCATGCAGGTGTACAACGGAGACGCAGATGCGGTATCCATGCTTGATGAGCTGGAGTTCTGTTATACCAAGTTCCTAGGTGACAAGGAGACCAAAACGGAAGACGCCGGCGATGCCTCGGATGCGTTGGTTGAGATCCTTCTCAGCTTCGCATCCAAGCAATCGCAGCTTTTCCGTCGTATGAGTGAGCAGGTGTTTGGCGCATTTGCTAACCAGATCACCGAGAACGGATTGGAATCTTTGACCTCGGTATGTAGCCTCAACTTCTGTCAGACATGCATTTTCTAACTTGACCTAGATTCTCGAGGCCAAGGAGAGTCTTGCCGGACAGCAAGAGATGTTTGAAGAACAAGACGACGAAGCCGAGGAAGAAGGAGATGATGATGACGAGGAGATGAAGGATGTCGACGAGGATGAGCTTGACAGTGATGTCGAGGTCGTTGAAGCCGGCGGCTCCGGCTCCGACGACGACGACGACGACGAGGAAGAAGAAGAAGACAACGAAGAAGACGCACAGGAAGTCGCCGCCTTTGAAGCCAAACTAGCCGCAGCTCTCGGCTCCCACCGCGCAGACGAAGATGAGTCCGACTCCGATGCCGACATGAACGACGATGAGATGGACGAACTAGACGACAAACTAGTGCAAGTATTCCGTGCACGTCGCCAAGAAACCTCCCACCGCAAAGACAAGAAAGACGCACGCGAGAACATGGTGAACTTCAAGAACCGCGTCCTGGACCTACTAGAGATCTTTGTAAAAAAGAGCCACACCCGCCCCCTCGCACTGGATATCCTCCTGCCGTTGCTCCGATTATCTCGCCGGACCAGCGTGAAGCAAATCGCCACCAAGGCCAACGGGGTGCTGCGCGAGTACACGAAGGTGTGCAAGGGCAATTCGCTCCCTAAGATCGAGGACGACGCACAGGCGGCGGCGCTCTGGGAGCTTCTCCGGTCTGTTCATAAAGAGGCTAGCCACAGTGGACCTGTGGGCCATGCGACAGCTTGCAGCCAGGCTAGTTTGCTTGTTACTAAGGTTCTTGTTGCGCATGATAAGGATGCTATTGCGGGTGTTGTGGATGTTTATGCTGCTACTCGCAAGGATCAGCTCATGAGTACTAAGTGTCATGTGCAGCCGTCGTTCTTTTCGGAGTGGAATAACTGGTGTGTTTCCGCGAGTAAACAGTTGAAGTGAGTGGTGGGTTCTTTTGTATAGAGATTGCGAGTATAATACGTCGCTAGTTTTCAATGTCAATGTCATTATCATGTTTATTCAACGGGTTTTATGTAGTCCACCATCTTATTTTTGAATCAGATCGATCGCATATATGTACCTATGTCGCTATACGTACCATTTTTCCTCTGCTGGGGCTTTCCTATCTTAGCTCCGCTTTTACGAGGACGCTCAGAGTCAGGCTCACTGAGTAAACTTCAGTCAAGACTCAAATCAGTGAGTGTGGTCCCAATCAGAGTCTAGGGCCTAGTATATATACCGCTGCAGTGACAATCGGACGTTCCGATTGTCCTATGATCTCTTGGCCAAGTCACGGAGTACACCCATCCATCATTCGGCCATTTCATCCAGAGATCAAGTATTAGTTCGAAAAGTTGTGTTCGGCCTTCTAAAAGGACGGTATTGAGGTTGGAAAAGAGATGTCCATGCACATATTCTAATGTATATCATGGAGAGTGGGAAATATATATATACACATATGTACTTTCACGTCGTTCAACTTCTAATCTTACAATGCCATATTCTATTCATCTCGCAATGAATCATTGAATCCCCCCCTAAAAACCAGTAAGGTATTGATGCTTAGTCGTCTCCTCCAAAACCTCCAGCTTCATCCCAACCTCAATAGCGCCCTCATTACGCGGCGCACTCAGCATCCCGAAGCAAGGTTTGTATTTAACCCCCTCGTCGACCCTACGGTACGAAACAAGCATATCCCACGGCTGCTTCTTGTTCTTGAATGCCGTAGTTGGATCGACATTAGGCACCTGGCAGCGTGCACAGCGAGCCAAAATATCTAGATCAAGCGGGGACCGGATAACAGCTTTGTCATAACCAGCAGAATCACCAGGAATACCGCTGGCCTCCCGACCGGTAATGCGAACCAACTTCCACGAATCCTCACTCCATGGCACGCCTCCGCGCACAACGATATTCGGACGGAACCGCTCGACAGTAATCGGATCCACACCCACCTTTCCCAGACGACCGTTTAACTCTGCCAGCGAAGATTCCGAAGCAATCAATACCGGGTGCACGTCGGGAAAGTTGGTTGTCTGGACGCGACCGAGACGACGCGGGGCGCCGTTACCCTTCAGCACGCGTGGGGTTGGACCCTTGTAGACGAGGGCGACGTCACGTTGCAGGAAGGCGGAGAAGGGGGCATTGATTTCCTCGCTGTACCTGTATCCGTCCGTCTCCGTGCCCCAGATGTGGGCGGGGCCCAGATTTGTATTTTCCGCTAGCCATTGTGGGGATGGATGGGAAGGGATGCGGATTGTGTGGAATTGATGGTCTTGGTCTTGGTCTTGGTCTTTTGCTTCGGGGATTGGGATACTCACGACCAATTCGTCGCCGTCGGCACTTAGGGCGGTGCGGATGCGAGTCATATCGGGGATTTGGCGGATTGTTAAGAAGGTATTTGAAGATGGGTCGATGAGCATCCAGCGGCGGTCGAGGTCAAGACCATGTTGTTTTAGGATTGTTGATTGGACTTCTAGGCCTCGACAGGATTTGATGGGGTACATGCGCAACGAGACGATCTCGCTGGATTGTTTGGGGCGGGGCCATATGCGGAGAAGTTTGTTTGGCCATTGGACGGATCTGGGCCATCCTGTGAAGGGGGTAATCAGGAGGACTGGAATTAGGAGTATGAGGCCTAATATTACCGCTGATGCCATGTTGTGCGACTGAAGCATGTTTGCTGTTTGGGAAAATGTTAGGGTTATACAATCCTGGAAGGTGATAAGTCGGTTTTGCCACGGAATGCCGCCTTTCTATATGAAGTTATGACTTAGTTTTGGACAGTGGACGTCCAGTTTACTATTATAGTGCTGTGCCTTATCCTGTTATTTTGTTATTTTATATATGGTAGCTGCCCTTGAGTCCAATAATAGAAAAAAAAGTCCGAGAGGTATGAATTAGACACATGGTACGTATGAAATGCCACATGCAAACACAGTGCGTGTATGTAGGATGTACAAAAACCAAAAGGAAAAGAAACTTGAAAAGCATACAAGTCCAGAAAATGCGACTGTTGAAGCCAAATACCGGATAAGTATAAAATCAAAACCAACAACATGTACTTAGGTAGACCACCTGAAGGCGGTATATGTCCAAGATAAAGTTAACTGCGATGCAATCTGGTTATACCGAATGTTTTTTATCAAGCCAACACGCGACCATTGCCTTAATTAGGGCGAGTGTGACAATCTTGCCTTGCTCGATATTCCCATCCTCAGAGGTCCCAGGGACATGGAGGAACAGAACATTGCGGTCCTGGCCCTGTAATTGGGCCAAAGACATGCTGGTGTAGAAAATGAAGTCACACAAGTAGTGGCCCGCATCCTGGGAGATCCGGAGATCCGACTCGGGAGCAAACGAACGCCACGTCTCCAGGAACTGGTCGTCGGGTTGGTAGGGCGAAACAGAGGTGGGATCATCTGCAGCACGCCCTGGTGTTAGTATCGGTGGCAGACCCAACCCTTTCCATCGCTTCTCGCCGTCCACATAACCGGGACGACCATTGACATCGGTGATGTTATAGTCATCTCGGTGAGCTAAACTTTCAACGGAGTAATATTGCCGTGGAGCTGCAATGCCGATATGAATAATGAGATCAGGTCTGCGACCACCATGAGAGGCTGCAAACTCCTCCAGCATTAAGGGAAGAGCCTCTCGAACAGTGGCATATGCCACTGGGATCGGAGTGGGATGCACATGGAGTGAAACGCGACGTGGGTCCGAGTCGTGGCCTTTAGGTGATGGGAAAAGGAAAGACGATGGAAGAGAGGAAGCGATCAGATATGACGCATTTACAAGGTTGGTCTTGAAGGGCTGGTTACACCATTAGTTTCGGCTCGGATACTAGCAACATCCGAAATGCAGATCACTTACCCCAAAGCCTGTTATTAGGACGGATATCTCATTAGGCGAGGCCGAGGGATGTAGCGGACTGTTGCCGACAGGAGTGGAGAGTGTATATGGAGCAATAGTCCCGGAATCACCCATATTCAAGGTTATTTTCTTTGAGGTGGAAGTTGAGAAGATGACTTGCAGGCGGGGGAAGTGAACCTTGGGAAGACACTCAGATGAATGCGGGGTCTTGGCGGAATGCAACCCATGGATTCTTACTAGCCCTAGTTCAGTTAAGCTATATATATGACCAGTTAACGGGTTTCATATTTTGTTTGCTTATATATGATATGTAGTAGTATTAGCTTTTTAGATAGATATCTTGTTAGTGGTATTTGCCAAGTCTTCATCTGGTATTCCCCAAAAATGTACTTTTCTGGGTGCTAGGCTACCGAGACTTTCTCATTCTTGTACTACGGAGTACAGAGCTGGTTTCCCCTTCAATGATTATATCGTTCAACTTGCAGGATTTGCAAGCCTCTATTATCATTGGCACGCTTAATAGATTGGAAAACATCTGTATATGCAAGTGGATCTAGGCGGGATAGAAACCCCATTCAAGAATTGCCTGTTCGGGTAGGGATCGCTTAATTTGGCTCTCGTTCTCGCATTGCAGGCTAGGTATACATAGATGTAGGTCAAGAATATTGTTTATCGGAGCTTTGACGTTCTGAGTAAAAAGAATTAGTCGCTTAGAATACTCTCCAACCATTGGCTTTGGCTCGGTTCGGTTCAACTTGACAGCCATTTGATACCCTACGTGGGCCCCCCTGGTTTTGAATATCCAGTCCAAGGTCGGTTGAGGGGAAAATGGAGTTTCCCTGACTGGTTGATGGCTCGGTAGCTATTATAAATGTTATAAATGAGTAAGTAGGTCCTCGGAGAATATCATGCCTTAGAAATTTAGGGTGTTGCTTCTATTGTCCCCTCTTCCCTTTTTCAGCCTTGACCTTGGACCTTGACTATGGCAGTCATCACTGAATTGCTCAGCACTCCCTATGTTGTACAGAGTGTGTGCATCGCCCTAGTGGCGGTGTTCATAACAAGTATATGGGGAGATATAGCAAACGGGATTCCGCATAAGCACATTCCTTTGGTTGGAAAGACCTGGTGGGAACTTACCAACAAAAAGGCCCGGCAGCGCTTCACTCGGTCATGTCGTCAACTGATTGCCGAAGGCTTTGCAAAGGTGAGTCTCAATAGAGATCAATGACGGTATTTTCTGCCCTCAAATATGCTAATAGGCCTTCGTAGGGAGTGAATGTCTTTCAGATCATCGGAGCCACAAGTCCGATAGTTGTATTGCATCCGAAGTTTGTCGATGAAATCAAGAGCAACCCAGACCTGAGTTTCGATGGCTCGATCAAAAAGGCAGGCTATGAAGCCGGAAATAATTGGTGACCATGGCTAACTTGCGTATAGACATTCTTCAATGATCGCATTCCTGGGTTTGGACCATTTCATAATGGCGCTGCTTTAAAGGCTACTGTGGATATCGTGCGGACCAGCTTGACCCAGGCGCTCGGTATGACTTTACATATATACACCTCAGATCTCACCCAACAGACAGAATTGACTTATCTTTCCCATCCAAACAGGGTCCATTTCACTTCGGCTCTCAAAGGAGTCAGGTGCGATATTGAATGAACACTTGCCCCCCACCGATGGTATGCTAAAGCACCCCATTTGCATTGAATCTTTCCACTGACCCTTCTTCTTTTGCTAGAATGGAAGCCTTACCACATCGCGCATAAGGTCCCGTACATGGTAGCCCGCCTTTCCTCTTTGATATTTGTTGGCGAGACCATCTCCCACGACGATGAGTGGATTGATGTCTCCGTGAACTATGCCATCGATGCGTTTATGGCTATGCGCGATCTACGAGACTGGCCATCCATTCTTCATCCGATCGTCCACTGGTTCTTACCCTCTACCCAGAAGCTACGCACACACTTAGAAATGGCTCGCTCCATTATTAGTCGCGAGATAGACAGGCGGGCCTTGATTCGCGCGGGCAAGCTCCCTGAAGATGATCCACCCCGTGGACCTGATGCTCTGGACTGGTACCGTGAAGCCGCTGAAGCCCGGGATAACTTGACCTTTGATCAGTCTTGTGCACAGGTTGGATTGGCACTGGCGGCTATCCATACTACGTCAAACTTGTTAACTAACGTTATATATGACCTCGCGGCGTACCCGGAGTATATCCAGCCGCTGCGTGATGAGATTTGCGCGGTTGCTGCTGAGGATGGAGTGCTGAAGAAGACTAGTTTGCTCAAGTTGAAGTTGATGGACAGTGTGATGAAGGAATCGCAGCGTACTAACCCACTCTCCTTGAGTAAGTTACCCACGTTCTTTTCGTTTATTCATTCAACCCACAATTCTTTTCTTTCTTTTCTTGCTAAAGAATGACTGGTTGACACTCCACAACAGCCTCCATGAACCGCCTCGCCCTTAAGCAAGTTGTGCTCTCCGATGGAACTGTGATCCCCAAAGGCGCCAACATGTTCGTTTCTATGAAAATATTGGAAGATGACACTATCTACCCCAATGCTGCCACTTATGATGGTTACCGGTTTTGCAACAAACGCAAGCAACCCGGTAACGAACACAAGCATCAGTTTGTGGCGACGACAAGTGAGCATTTCGCCTTCGGCCATGGTGTACATGCCTGCCCGGGCCGGTTCTTCGCCGCCAATGAAACCAAAATCATGCTCCTTCATTTGCTTCTAAAGTACGACTGGAAACTGCCGAGCGGCGGTCGACCTCCAAACATTGAGAATGGGGTTGAGTCTATCACCGACCCACAAGTTCAGATTCTGTTCCGGTCGCGTAAGTCGGAGGTTGACCTAGGTTTCCTAGGGGAGTAGTGGATGGATGTGCGCAGCACTTTTCCCCCTTTGTGTTCTATACATATTTGGATACTCACTACCTAGGTAGGTTTTGTGTGTTTTAGTCATCATGGAAGTGATGTTATTTACAAGTTGTGGGATAAGGTGAATTTTTGATGGACACTGGACCCCTTTGAATATTATCGAGTTTGAAAAAGGTCAAGTCCAAGTCTTCGAGGAAGATATGACTTGGTCTCCTCTGAAAGTGGAGTTGATTGGCATCTGGTCCACAGTTCTGCGGGTATACTGTGGCTATCCATTGTAAGCGAGATGAGATCTTGGGACTAAATCTGTTGAGAATGGATCTTTGAATTGGATAACTCAGGAACAGAATTTTAATGCAGAATGTTTAACAGTGGATAGGTGGCCCATATACTCTGTAATCTGTAGTATTTATAGATATATAGATATATAGATATATAGATCTATATAGATCTATAACTATAAAATTGAGACACAAGATACCACGTGACAGGTAATTATACAGTCAGTATACAATCCGTATACAGTAATATTTCAACACGTGTGTTGGACGCGTCAACGCGTCAGTGGAGAAGAACGTGAAGCTTCTCCAACCGCAACGCCTCCACCACCCGTCCTAATGGGGTTATATGGGTCTTTTTTTTTTGGCCCTGTCTCTTTGGGTAGTTCGGGGGGCTCCAGGGCTCCAGAGATGATCCAGACCGCACAATGAGAAAATGTGACCGCTGATCTACGGTACCCAGGTACCCGTTACCAAGCTGGTTTTCGGTTTCTTTGAACGCAACAAACCAATTCACTATGAAAGGAACCTTTTACTTTCCAAGATCTGACTGCAAACATATGATTGGAAGTTGAAAAAAAAAAGGAAAAGGAAAAATGAGCTGAAGAATATCAGTGCCGAGGACCATCAGCTGCACTTCTATACGCAGGTTGGCCGTTCTCCGTTCTGTTCTGTACAAACCCTTGCAGCTCTGAAGTGAATGGCTGGAGACAATGTCTTGAAGATGGAGACTCGATCTACCATACGTAGTACTCTGAGTACTCCGTATTCCGTACTCCATACATGGTACCTGATCTCAAACACCAGCCCCCGTCATTTATGATGTCTACAACGCTGAGTACCGAGTAAGCTGCAAGCTGTACTCCGTACTCCGTACAGCTTACGTTAATACCTACAAGCCCTAGAGCCAAAATCACCTTAACTATTTGCTCAAGGTGTCCTTACCTCCCAAGGTGGTTCCCTTCAAAGTCCTGTGGCCAAATTATTTGTCGACAAGTGCATGCATCAAGCAAGGCCCAGATGGTGTCCACAACCATTCTATATAGGAAATACTCGAGGCAAATCTAAACAAAAACATCTGTAAAGAAGAGAGAGAAGTGAGAGAATCAATTGAAAGACTTTAAGACTTGAGACTGTTATAATTCTTTTTTAGTTAAACAACGCATAAGATTTTCGCAGTGGGCCAAGTCCACTAAGTATAGGGTACCAAGTTCAGTGGGCAGTCCACCACGGGGATCTCAGGTACCAAGTACCCCCCTCCCACTCCCGCCTCACCCTACGCCCAATCCCCCATCTTCTTCCTCTTCTTCTCTCTCTCTTTCTCTCTCTCTCTCTCTCTACCAACCCTTTCTACCATTATCGCGAGTTATTTTTCTCCCACTCTTTCTCTGTTTGAGGAGGACGTTTCTTTCTTTTGTGTGTTATTTTTTTTTCGGGTAATGACGAAATCCTTCATTCCCTACTACTCGGACGGGATGGAGCCGCAGATGTGATCTGGTGATCCCCGATTTCAAAGTTGCCGCATTCCTCAGGAAGCATATCACGACCGAGACCTCGGTTTTTTTTCCCTTCTATTTTCACTTTACTCCTGCATCTCTTGCTCTCGTTGTACCTTTTCCTTTTTCTCCTCTTCACGATTCACGACATTGACGCGACACTGCGCGCTTCGACTCGAATTCGCGCCATACTCATCTACTCTCAACTTCGACCCCCGACACACCCTCGAGTTCTTCCTAGAAGTCGCAGTGACCCACATTCTGCGGTTCGCAAGACCGCAAGATCGCCAGTATGGCTCAACGTCAACTTTCGCGCACTCTGCCCAAGAACTTCACCTTCTCCCTCGGCGACAATGAACCCAAGACCCCCGAGCGCCCTCGGACCACTATGAATGTACCTCCGCCACCTCGTCACTCAATCTCTAGCGGCCGCCTACCTAGAGTTCGGGCTCGCGCTGGTACCAATGTCTGCGCTCGTATGGACATGGACATGTTCCAATTCCACGGTTCCGATGTTCCACTGCCTTCAATTGAAGTGCCCCAATCGACTGACCTGGAGGCGCCTTCAGTCCGTGATTTCGCCAATGACCAGAGATACCTTGCGCCTCCTCGCGCGCGAATGGATTTTAAGACGCCACCTGCGCAGATCCGCGGCACACCTTTTGATTCCTGCGACACGGCTAATCAGTGGCCATCGTGGGACCAGACACCTGGCCCAAACAGCACCAAGCGCTCAGACTCGGTCTGCTCGACTCTGTCAAATTCTTCAATTGAATCCATTGAAACTTTCGCGTCGCGACCATCTGTAGGCAGTTTCACCAGTGTCGAGAGCGATTTGTTTGACTCATACTTCCCCTTGGAAATGTCCAAAGAACCTGAGATTGAGTCGCCTTCGCGACCTCAGAAACAGCCGGCGAATGTCAAAGTGTCCAAGAAGTCCTGGACTCGTGAGATGGATACCCACTTGTGGAATACCTACCAAATTTACCTCCAGGATCCTACTATGACCCCGTTCAAGATGACCCCTGGCAGTATCCCCCTCTGGGAGTCACTTCGCGTGTTGCGAGACGCGCCAAAAAGACATGGTCCCAAAAGAGCAGTCGCATTATTGAATCTGTCTCGATGAAGTCTGTTGACCCCATTGAAATGTCTACACCCAAGGCTATGGACGAAGAGTCGCAGCCAGCCTGGCCCAAGTCTGACAGCAAGACTCGACGACGCCTCAAAATGTTATGCCGTCGCAAATTCTCAATTTCTCCCCACTACCAGCGCATCATGCAGTCTCGCACTCCCGAGCCTGTCACGGAGGTGTTCGGCCCTCCTACGGATACCCGCGTCAAAGACTTCGCTGATAACTCGGCCTACACTACTCGTGACCTCGGCGTTTCTCTTGTCATTTCCTCCGAACCGACTCCACTTTCTCAGGTTACACAAGAGTTGCCGTTGACTACGAACTGGTTTAACAACCCTGTGGCTGCTCATGTCGAGCCACCCGTGGCCAAGACCCCTAGTCAGCATCTTCGTGTGGAATCTGCTCCTAGCATCCCTCGTCTGGGATCTCCATTTGTGTACAGCACTTGGGGCCCCGGTGGATCCAATCGCCAGGTTCATGATTCCAATGCTCGACCTGGGACCGTTCATGTTCCGGGTTATCGTGCCCGACGCAACACGTACTTCGACCAGTCTTTGCCTGATACTGATGATGTCTTCGCGAGCGTATCCAGGGAACAGAAGAATCCTTCCGACCAAGAAGTTGAACGTCGCTTGGAGGACTATGTTCGTGAAAACAAGTTCCAAGACATGGGCCATGGTCGGCTCCGCATTCGCAATCGTGGAGCTACCACTAGCGCTGTCAATCCCAGAGACATGGACCAACTCTTCTCTCCGCCCTCGTCCCTCAACTCAGGCCCAATTGAACCCGAAGAGACAACACCCATTCTGAAACCCCCCATGAACCCATTGTTGGACCTTGGCGAGAACATTAAACGCCTGGGCTCACCCTTCCGGATCGAAGGAGGACACAAGCGTCGCGAAGCCCCAAAGCGAGTCATCAGACAAGCACCTGCACTGTCTGATCCATTCTCGAGCGGTGGTCGTTCATATGTCAGACCTGATAACAGCACTTCTCCAATGCATGTTTCTCCGGCTCACGTACATGATAAAGCACCAGATACTTTGCCATACAATACCTCAGAGAACGGCCTTTCTGATGCTGAGCGAATTCGCCGGCAAATCTTGAATATGCCCTTTACAAGCAACTAAGTTGCACCCTTTTTGCTGTCGAATTTCCAAGTATCCGTTTCATCGTGGCGTCGATTTCTGCGAGATTTTATCCCCTTTGCATTATGACTTGAACGAGATACGGACAGGGCCCTGGTACGGCCCTTGCATTTCCAGCCTTTTCTTTTTTACGACAGCAACACCATCCACGACTGTAACGATACGTTTGAGATGTTTTCTTCACGCTCAGCCCTCAGCATCGCAATACTGAAACTCCAACGACAAAAAGAAACCAAAAAAAACCAAAAAAAAAACGTGATGGGTCTTTCCACTTTCCATTTGGTCGAAACCCGCACACAGTACATCGGTGTCTGGCTGTTGGTTACCAACCACTACCCTTGTGTGTGTGTGTGGTTCTGGCCCATTTTACTCGGTGAAATCAGTACAGTTTCATCATTCATTCACTCACAACCTCATTTCCTTTTCTTCCGACGGGGTTTCACCTCGAACAAAAGTCAAATACACCCCCAAAAAAGTTGAAAACAACCCGAAATACCCATATCTGCTGTCACATCAGCAACCATTCGCTATTTTTTGCGACCCACGCTCCTTACATATTCTCTTTTATCTTCTTTTCCCAGACCTTGTCTAGTCGTTCATCCCCTGCATCTCCTACATGTGACAACATACCTTTCCGACAATGTCATCCTGGAGGTGCTACCCGACTTGACAATGGTCGCCTTTCGAATTACCCATCACACATGGAAACGACACCCTGTCTCTATGTTGACCGTCGTCAGTCAACATAGATGGCAATGCACCCCCAAAAAAGCGAATGTGCAACGATACATATGCAAGTACATAGACGAACTGAAACGAAACGAACGCGCATGAATATTGCAGTTGACCAACGACATCCCTGATACGCAAGCGAGGTGTTTGGTTTTCTTTTGCCAGCGATCCCCATTTCTTCTTTATTTGCATCCATGATCTCAATCTTGAAGCTCATTTCCTCGGATATTTCTCCTTCTCGATTGATGATCCACGATTTACCTCATGCTTCCGGTTCTCGATTTGATTCAGCTCGCGCTCCATGATTCCCCTTGTGGCGAGCCTTATTGGGTTTGCATCCGGATAATCGCGTGTCCTTTTTTTTCTCCGGTCTTTTTTTTCTTGCCTCTTCTGCGTCTCATGGCGTATGGATGTCTGTCTTTTTTTTTTTTTTTTTCTTTCAGAGCATTTGTTGCTGGATCTTTGCGATCTTACTCTGGAGCTTGTGAGAGTTTGGCCGTTTTATCTATTTTTCTTCTGATTTATCTTTCTGCGTGGGTTGATCTTTTAGAGCAATGTCTTTGTTTGATCGAACTGATCCCGGCAACTGAATTATCATCTTTTCCATTTTTATCCCTTTTTTCGGTTGTAGATCACCGATTGCTGGTAACTTCGTACCTGGATGCCTGAGCAGATCCCCTGATTCTTGCAGTTATCATCCTCAATGTGCACTCCGCAGGCATCATTGGAGGTGGATGGACCCCCTATACTCCCCGGTCTTGGAACACATGTTACCAATCGTGTCTGCTCTTTATACAAGGCTTGATTAGCCTTAGGTACCATGCTGCTAGGTAAGCTCTGTTCTCGCCCGTTCACCATTGGTTTACTATACTTGAAGCCACAGTCCAGCAAATGAGACATTACTTGTGGAAGGTTCCAATAGAAGTGAGCAGGAGGAGACGAAGATACTTGGGTGGCCAATGAATAGCCGGCCTTGGTGTAATGAAGAATCAATTATCGGATATTATCTACAGACCAGACAAGCATATCAAACAAACAATAGTAAACCAGAATGAAGATAAGAAGGAACAGGTAACATGACAATAAAATGGGGGTATAAGTTATAAAGACATCTGCAATGAGGCAATTGGACACAACAAAGAAGCGGGTGAAAGAAAATAATCACTTCTCCAATTTCTTCTTCCGCTCCGCAAGGAGAACCTCGATCTTGCGAATCTGAGGAGCAAGACCTTTCTTCTCAGCATTCGCAAGGAGCCATTCTTCCATGCCGCGACGAACATGCCGCATGGAATGCAAGACAGGCAGAATAGGCGCGGATGACATACCCGCATCGACTCCGTTCTCGCGCTCGATGCGCTGCCAGCGTTCGGCGCCAGGGTTCAGCAAGAGATCGAAGACACCAGCCCAGAGTTCACGGTCCCAGTATCGTTTCAGAGACTCGCGGATGCGATAGGTGCGAGACGATGGGTTGCCGTCGCTGCCATCGATGGCAGTTGATTCGACGTATTTGCCGAATAGCAGGACGTGGATCACGCCGGCAATACCGTACAGATCGATATGGTGGGTCCAGGGGCGCATCTCACGGATCTCGTTGCACTCATGCGTCCCGGTTTCCCAGTCGGCGATGAATTGCACGGCTGGCGAGAAGGCTTGCATGTCGATGCTGCGGCCGAAGTCAATCAGAGCTAGGCCTTTTTGTTGCCACCCATGGGAGCCGCTTGGGGAGTAGTGGATACTTTCGCGAGGATCAAAAGTGGGTTCATCGGCACCAAGGTCGAGCAGGGAGAGGGCCTTGGAGGGTGGTTCGTTGTGATTGTGGTCGTCTAGGCGGACGAGGCAATTGTCGGCTTTGATGTCGCCGTGGAGGACACCGTTGGCGTGGAGTGCTTCGACAGTGCGGAACAACTCGACAGAGAAGAACATCGCTAGGACCTCCTCGAGACCGCCTTCAGAAGTATGGTTGGAGTTGATGGCTTCATTGCGGACGATGTTGACGAGGTCGAGTATGGTGCCTTGTCCTCGATAGTCCTCCACCAGGAAACTTTCACGTTGGTGAACATGCAGTTCGTGTGCGCGAACAATGCTATCGGTGGCACGAGAATGATCCGTAGATAGTCGTAAGCGGCTATACGCTGTGCGAATCATGTAAAACTCCCACGCGCTTGATGGTCCGTTTTCGACCTTGACGGCCTCGAAGGCGAATCGAGGAGTCTCATAAGCGTTCGGCTTTGTCAGTTGGGAAGTTTTACCGTTAGGGCTTGTGCTATCGTCGGAGTCGGAGTCGTATGATTCAAGACTGTCGACACTCTCGGCGAGATAGACGGGCGCATATGCACCAGCTCCTAGCTCACGCCTGATAATGTAGCTTCGTTCTGCCCCTGGGAATTCGAGGATAGGTGTGTCAAATGCATCATCCCCGCCACTCTTTGATCGCCTGGTATTGGTTTTGACGAACTTCTGGATCATCGAAGCATAGTTGCTATCTTCAACATGACCGTGATAACCCGTGTACGTTGCAAGTGGCTTTTCTAGGGAATTGAGAATCGTGTTGCGAATGCCCTTGTCAGTCGGATTGCACTGCGCATCCCTAATTATTGGTTCCCGTCTCCGAAGTTTGGGTGCGAGGGCCTTGAAGGCCATGGGACTGAATGGTACATCGGCCGTAGACGCAACAGTATGATCACCTTGGTACGGTGTGTTTGTTCCCAGTGGACTGGAAAGCAGAAAATTACCGGCCGGTGATCGAGGTTTCGAAGGCGTTTTCGCGTTATAAATGCTGTTTCGAGCGGCCGTCAAAGAAGGAATGGATTCCGTTCGCTCCACGATAGGTGTCATAAAGGGAAGGCGGTTTTGGGCCATGATCGCAGGGTCTCGGTAGGTCCCCCATGGAGGAGCATAGTCCTCGGGCATTTCTGGTATGAATCCTTTCCTCTCCGGTGTTCCTTGTGCCGAGCTACCTTCCGCTCCATCACTGACGATAGAATGTGAGGTGACTTCAGCATTTTCAATATCAGGAATATCACGATCTGGGTTGAACTCTGTCCAATCGCTGCCATCGCCATCGACGCTCTCAGCTCGTGTGGTGTTGGCGTAGTCGGTGTCATCGTAAGATTTGTGGAACGTTTGGGTCTCCTCGTCTCCAAAGTCGCTCGAGGCTGCTGATATGTGCCCTGTCCCTGTACTATCTTCAGCACTGGCGCAGTCGTCATCTTCGTAATCGCTACCGCAGAAGCTATCTGCGTCTTCTTCAGTCTCAGCCTTCAATGGCTGGTTGAAAATGCTATAGATCTCATCTGTCGCTGCACGAGTGTGCATGGTCATTGTCGGCTCCCGAGTACTCTTCCGCCGAACCTTTTTGTTATTGGACGGGGAGTCAAACTTCATTTTGACTGCACAGGTGTGAGTTTAACCCGCCCAAAGGATAAAAGAAAAACTGCTGCTACTCACCTGTTTGTGTCTGTGTTGTTTCCCCCTTGATCTTGGTGCGACTCGCTTTGCCAGATTTGGCTTCATGGCCATCGTTTTGATACTGAGATTGAGCGTGACCAGCTGCGGTGAGATTTTGACCTAAATGCTCCGGCAATTGCTCTGGGGATTGAGATTTCCCTAGTCGGGAGTCGGTACTGCCCGTGTTCCCAGATATTTGTTGTAAGGGCTCTTTTTGTTGCCGCCAATTCTTGTCCGTCCAACCACGCTTGATAGCCCTGAGCTCTTCAAAGCTCATCTCATGTGCAGGGTTGGTGCGATCAGGGTATACAGATTCCAAGTCGACAAATACACGTTCGCGTCGGCCGGTCCGCGGGTTAATCGCTTCCCTTACGTGATGTTCGGGTACTTCTTTAGGTGGTATTGGTTCTTTGGAAGGAAGATCTGGATTGGACTGAATACATAATAAAACACCATAGGTTCATGCCAGCAATTAGTCCTGTGATCGTAAATATGTGGAGGTCTGAAGAGGGAAAGGGCAACCTGGAATGGGAACTCACCTCGTCACGGAAGATGGCCATTTTTTGTGTTGGCGCTGCTTTCTTCCCAACCTTCAATGTTTCTCCTGCCCATGGCTTTGCCTCCACTTCGTTCTCTTTCTTGCGGTCCCGAATCGACCCAATGCTTTCCCATCCCTTTGTCGATCCACCAGTTGCCGGGCCCGGCGCAGCAGAGTCAGCGTCTGAGAAAATAGCCATCTTAGGCTTCCCGGACTTGGTTTTTGCGGCACCACCCGTCTGAGGCGGGGGCCGTGAAGCTTGTGGGTCAGCAGAGGCATCTGATGTTGCGAACGGGTTCATCTTGGCGGCCAGCGCGGGACGGACAGTCGGCAAAGCAGGCGATGAGGGCCCGGTATCTTGCGGACGCTGGTCGTATCGGAATTGAAACTCGTTGTACTTCCGTGCCAATCTCTCGACTGGTCGCGCCTCACGGTCCATACCGAGCCTGTATACCTCATCGGCTTGTGACCACCGACCAGCACCCTCTAGCCACCCGGCAAATTCCTCATAGAAAAGAGCCAGACTTTCACCGATTTGATGCCGCGCAAGGAATGCAAAAGTTTCGCGTGGGGCATCGGAGAAGAGTCGAACATAATGAAGCCATAATCGTAGGTACCGAGGGTCGTTTCTGTAGTGTGATGATGAAAGGAATGACTTCGTTGCCCGTTCCAATAAGGGGAGAAGGCCGGATTCTGCGGTCGCTTGTGCGGACGGGTATGCGTTCAGGGTCCATTTGACATAACGGTCATAAACATCGAGTGGATCGTCCGATTCTCCTATCGACTGCAATTCACTTTCGAATTCTTGGCGCATAGCATCGTTGATGGTCCTGGTTCCATTTGGTGATGGGGAGGGGATCTTGTCGCTATTGCTGCCGGCTGAAAATATCCGGGCGAGTTCTCTAGCTGATCGGCCACCGGGGAGTGATTGGACGTTTTCCTTTTGTGCTTCGATGATATCGAAATCGACCAAGTCGTCAGAGGCTGACATGTTAGCGACAACGACAGATGAGATGAGATCACACAGATCCCAGATTCTGTCGAAGACCAAAAGTTCAAAAAGAGCAAGTAATAATTCTGGCGGGGCTGTAAGGAGATTCTTTGGTTATCGATAACATCACATGACTGTTGCCCGGGAGACAGTCACGTGCCTTTTACTTCTTCCATGGGTTCCTTGCGTTATACTCTCATTGACAGCATCAGAGGATAGAATACTCAAGTTAAGCTATCCCATAAGCTCAATTTGATTCATGACCACATACTTCATCCGTATTTCGGTTATTGTGAGTCTTCAGGGTGTGTAAGGTCCTATCCTGATTCACGAGGCTTGGCAATATCAACTTCTTCGGGCCTTCGATCAGGGTACCCACTCAGCTCAGGAGCCTCTACACGGTGACACTTTCAGTGCTATGTGTTGTCAAGATTCTGAGTCGCCAGCGTGCGAAGACCCTGGATCCAAGGTCAACCATAAACGAAATCTCAGCAATGGAATATCTGAGCTCTTCCCACCGAGACGATCCAAACGACAGAAATCCACTACGAATTTAAAAGAACTCTCTTCTCCAGAAGCCTCAGAGTCGGAGACCGAAGAATCTACTCCTGCAGTGAAAAAAGAGGCCGACGACAAACCTCTGGTTGATACTGCCAAGGAGAAAAAAAGAAGGCTCCAGTTAAAAAGGAGCCCAACGAAGACATCAAACCTAAAAAGGCGAGAAAGTCTAAGAAAGACCAAGAACTTGAGAGTATGCCTTTGGCACCGCGGACGAAGGGTCTGCGTATGTTCGTTGGCGCCCACGTCAGTGCTGCAAAAGGTCAGTATTCTCGGCATCTCATCGTCTCAATTCGATAATAACTCAATGCTTATCGATCAGGTGTCTTTAATTCCATACATAATAGTGAGAACATTGGGTAAGTTTGAGGGTCTTCTAAGTACGTCTAAGTTTGAAATTGGGTCTAATCTTACAATTAGAGGAAATGCATTCGCCTTGTTCTTGAAGTCACAGCGCAAATGGGAAAACCCAGCTCTCCAGGACGACCACCGCGATCAATTCCGTAAACTTTGCGCGGAGAAGGGTTATGATGCAGCCAAGTGAATATCCCCCAATCTGATTGGGCTCGAATCGATCACTGACATCTACTGCCCAGACACGTTCTCCCCCATGGCTCATACCTTGTCAACCTGGCGCAAGATGATAAAGCCAAATCCAAGCAAGCATATACCTCCTTCCTGGATGATCTCCGCCGGTGCGAGGCACTTGGAATTACGCTTTACAACTTCCAGTGAGTCGACTGTCTGCCAACCATCTCAGCCAATACTAACACCTCTAAGCCCCGGAAGTACCAATCAGACACCTCTTCCCGAAGCACTTGCCCGCCTGGCGGAGATGTTAGTCCAGGCCATTACCGAAACGACGACCGTAGTTCCCGTCCTGGAAACAATGTGCGGCCATGGCAACTCAATTGGCGGTGCACTGTCTGAATTTCGCGACTTGCTAGCTCTAATCCCGAAAGAGCACCACCCCCGCATCGGTATCTGCGTTGACACATGCCACAGCTTCGCAGCCGGCTATGATCTGACATCCCCGGCCGGATTCAAAGCCTTCCTCGCCGAATTCGACGAGCTAATCGGAATTCAATTCCTCCGAGCACTTCATCTCAATGACTCAAAGGCACCGCGTCGAAGCAAGCGCGACCTCCACGCCAATATCGGCACGGGATTCCTAGGTCTGCGCGCATTCCACAATGTCATGAACGAGCCACGGTTTGAGGGGCTACCTATGGTCCTTGAGACGCCTATTGACCGTGTCCCAGGACATAATGTAGCTACTGGAGACGATGCAGCTGAGGGGAGTGATAGCGATTCTGGGAAGAAGAAACAGCCAAAGAAGGGCCCCAAGAGACCCGCCGGTGCGAGTGCAGCTGCTATTCCCAACCCGGGTGTATGGGCGGGTGAGATTAAACTCCTTGAGTCGCTGATTGGTATGGACCCCGAGGGCGAAGAGTTCCGTGCTCTTGAGGCTCGCCTTTCAGAGGAGGGTCGTGCAGAGCGCGAGAAACACCAGGATCAGTATGAGCGTAAACTCGAGGCGGACGAGAAAAAGAAAGCCAAGGGACCCGGAAAAGCCAAGGGACAGAAGAGTCTTATGGACATGATGAAGGGTGGTTCTGCGAAGGAGTAGAGGTTTAGCAATACAATAAAAAATACTTGCTGGGGTTCTGTCTACTTTCTATGTCACTTTTCAGACTAAATAATAATGAAGAACAAAATCATAACAAGTCAAAAAGTCTCAAAATACAAACCAGCAAAGATGGAACGTTTGTATAGCTGTTGAGAGTAGGAAATTCAATTGATGGTATCAGTTAAGCCAAAGCCAAAATCCAAACAACCCCCCTTCATGCAAACAGAAATAGAAAATCGTGTTCTGGTCAATCCAAAGTTCGGCCAATTCATATCTTTGAAGAGTAGACATGCGATTCTAAGAGCCACACTAGGTTCTCCTCGAGTAATTCACAGACCATCCGACATCAAAGACAGTATAGGCAACGTAAAAAGTATCACATTCTTGTGAAATATAGGTAAGAGAGGAGTAGTTAAGAATGAGTGTAAAATGCTAGGGCTGGGTGAAATTTTGGCTCCGGATGGGCGAAACAGACGAGCTCGATTGAACGCCCGGCGATGCTTCGCGATCAGGGGCTTGTAAGTGAGGGAACCCTGCCTCAGCCATTGTAGTGATAGTAGCAGGTGCTGATTTAAGAGGAGAGGGCGGGCCATCATCTTCCAGAATGATAGAAGTCGAGATTGAGAGGCCGCGCTTGGCACCACTAGAGCGCACTCGGAATGAGCGCCGTTGGTCACCGGCTGATGATGATTCGGCATCATCATGGAGGTAACCACCCGGTGCAGGGCTAATGATGCTGGAGTCCTGATGGGCAACTCGGCGATAATCCCCCGGATCACCACTACTATGCTCATCTTCGTCGGTGTCAGATGCAGGACTCGACTCGCGACTCGATGAATCATATTCCGGTAGCTCGCTGCGCATTCCTGAGATCTTCATGTAGTTGTACGCTGCAATGCTGCTGATGGTGACGACCAAACCGGTCACATTAATCGTTGTAAGCTTATCGTGGAAGATGATGCCTGCGGCGCTAATTGTGACTACTTCCTTGAAGATACCGCAGATACTCAGTGTAACAACTGAGGAACGCTTCAAAAGCGCAAATTCAGAGGAAATCATGCAGAATGCAAGTACTCCAGGGAAAACCAGAAGAAACGAGCCAACTAGGTTCCCATGTTTGCTGGCGAGCGTGAGGTATCCTTGGTAAATATCATGAGGACCCTCGATGGATAGCGCAATGGTGATAAGGGAAAGGAACATGATGGGAGTCAGGAGAAAGAGAGTTGAGAATGGATTTGAAGTAGCCGGGTGGCGAAGTAAGAGAATCTGTGTCAGGCCCCATCGGAAGCCTGAGAAGAACGCAGAGGCAATGACGAGTGCGAAGCCAAGCGCATTGAAAGCTGTCTCTCCAGCGACCATCATCACGACACCTACTGTCATTGTGGCAATGATGATGATTAATTTTGTCGAAGGTGTCTCGAGACGGAAAAAAAAGGCGAATAACAGGACAAAGGCAAGTGCAGATGATTTGCACATGGTTAAAAAAGTAAGGGAGATGAACCTCAAGGACATGTTCCCGAGACCAACATCAAGCGAGGTTGCTGCACCACACGGAACGAGGCGAGTGAAGTAGAATAATTTGGTCATGAGAGGCTGTGGTTCCTCGGGGCCATCGATGGGAGACGTAGCTGCAGACCCGGTCGGTTGTCGCGGACGAAGCGATGGAAATATCCAGAGTATTATAACAGAGAGAGAGAATTGGACAGCCATGTGTAAGCTCGTGGTGAAAAGAGGGAAAGGAAAGACGATATCGTTCTCGGAGAACATCCATTTGTTGTACTGCAAACACGACAATTGTTAGTATATTTCTTCGACTTTCAAAACGACTTGCAAATAACCACTCACTATTGAAATGGACAGCGAGAAGAAATACCACAGCAGGATTAGCCCGCCGTTGATTAGTAGCTTCTTGACAACGTTTCTGTCCGACAGAATCTCGCGAATAGAACCCTGGCCCTTGACATCTGCGATTCGAGCATCCAACTTGCGGCGCTGTTTTCGCCGTCGACGTCGCTGACGTTTTTGATGTGATGTGAGTCCAGTTTCCTCATCATATTGGTCATCATCCGAACTCATCGGGTCTAACTCCAGAGTCTCTGCGGCGGATAAAACATCAGACGCATCAGTGTCGTCTTCGGTAGTCAAAGGTTCTTGTTCTTCACGTTTGTGATTCCCTCCATCTCCATGCGACCAGAGTGAGTCATCTCTGCGCTCTGTCGAAATTGGTTGTGAGGCTCGCCCTGTCCCGGTAAGCATGGAGCTTCGCCGACGGTGATGGGCGCCGGCGGAGAGCCCCATTCTGATAACTGGGACAGTTACGAGGTAGAAAGTAACTGAATGGAGGTGGGATGTATCTCCATTAACGTGGATAGAACAAGTTCGTCACACGACAGTGCACGAGGGCAAAAGCCTCGGGGGGGAAGTTGACAGGGGAATATGCTGACAAAGAAATAAAGAGGGGAGGAATCTGCCCAGGTTGTGCCAAGGGATTGAAAGATCAGAAACCAAAAAAGAAAAGGGAAGAAAAGAATGAAAATGAGAGTAAAAAGGTCAAAATTGTAGTCCAAAGGAATGAAAATGGCAAAAATTGAGGAATTGAAGAGCGGTGATGTTCATTTCCTCTTCCACCTCTCTTCAGCTCCTCTTCTCCTTTCTCTCCTTTCCTCTCCTTGCCCTTGACCTTTCTCATTGGTTACACACATTTTATATCGAGTCTCCACTGTCCGGTCGATCCGGGGTCAAGGGAAATAATTTGGGATGTTTGGATATTTGGATATTTTGGATGTTTGGATGTTTGATATTTCAATATTTCCCCGATATTTGAACCAGTTCGAGCGGTTTGACAGGTCTGAGAGATCTTCCCTGGTTTTGATTCTCATTGGTGGACTGCAATCTCCGGCCTTGACTTGAAGTTGTATATGAAAGCACACTCCCCATTGATCATTCTACTTACCTCGACCTCAGTTGACACGGCTTGTTGACAGAAAAGGCCATATATTCATTAGTCTCAATATGAGTCTGTCGGTGAAACGACAATCTGTCTCTGGTCGAACTCGTCAAGGTTATCTATCTCCTATGAAGAAGAAGAAGAAGAAGAAGCCCTATACCCACCCGGCATAGCCATGACCTCAGATCCAACCATTATCATCATCACATCATGTCGTGGTGTCTCCCACAAGTTCCGGGAATAATGTATGTCGGGGGATGCGGATGACAAGTGACAATGGGAGGCATTGCGTCTACCTCTTTGCTTTCAAATTTTCCTACTTCTTCTTCTTTTTCTTCATCTTCTGCTCTTCTATCTTCTTTAGGTCGATGCTGCAAAATAGCATTGGATCTTGATCAAACATTTCACCGGTTTTCTTTAACTAGCTTACTCACCTTCCCATCATGAGTGAACCTTTGTACAATGCCATTGAGGACTACGGCCTGATTGGGGACATGCACACCTGTGCCCTGGTCAGCAAGGCCGGTAGTTTGGATTACATGTGCTGGCCAGTCTTTGACTCTCCTACCGTTTTCTGTCGCCTGCTGGACGACAAGAAAGGAGGGTTCTTCTCCGTGAAGCCTTACAAGACGGTGGTGGATGCCCACAGCAAGCAGCGGTATCTTCCATACTCGAACCTGCTTGAAACCAGGTGGACCAACGAGGATGGTGTTGCGACATTGCTGGACTACTTCCCCGTCACACCTAAAAAGGGTGCGCAGTCGTCCCGGTTGCTGTCAGGATACTGTCCTTGCAATGAACCGGGCACCAATCGCTTCAAGTCTGGACTGCAGCACTCGGGCCTGATCAGAAAGTTGGAGTGTAGCCGTGGCTCCATGGAATTGCAAGTGCAGCTGTTCCCAGCTTTTAATTATGCACGAGAAGCACACAACACCCGTGCAAAACTGGAAAACGACATGTCCAAGCACCGGCTGCAGACCGTCCACTTTGAGAGTGAGACAGAGCGGCTGCAACTCGAGATCTTTGCCGATTCACGGGAGCCAGATAAGATTGGTTTCCCCCGGCGTCTTTGAAACTGGAAGAACGAGATGGCCTCCGTGGCCGCGGACTGGTAGCCTGGATCCGTCTATCGGAGGGTCAGACCATTCACCTGGTGTTGCACAGTCCCGAGAAAGCCGTCCCTAGCTCGGCCACCATGGCTTCCTACCTCTTCAAAATGGAGGAGGAAACTTCCGACTATTGGACCGATTGGACACGCAAGTGTGCCTTCCGTGGTCATTACCGAGAGACAGTCGAACGCAGTCTCCTCATTCTGAAGCTGTTGACCTACAAACCGACGGGTGCAATTATCGCGGCCCCCACCTTCTCGCTTCCCGAAAATGTGGGAGGCGCCAGAAACTGGGATTATCGGTACTCCTGGGTGCGTGACACAGCCTTCACGCTGTATGTCTTTCTCAAAATGGGATACAGCCAAGAAGCGGAATCGTATGTCAACTTCATATTCGAGCGGGTCTTCCCGCATGCTTCTCAAGACCTTGATCCCAACAGCAAAAAGCCCTTCTTGCCACTGATGTTCACTATCCGGGGCGAGTATGACATCCCAGAGGTGGAACTGGACCATCTCGAAGGGTACAAAGGCAGCAAGCCTGTTCGCATTGGCAATGCTGCCGTCTTCCACACGCAGCTGGACATCTACGGTGAATTGTTGGACAGTATCTATCTGTACAACAAGCACGGCAACCCCATCACCTATGATCAATGGAACTCTATCCGCCGTATGATCAACTACGTCGTCGGTGTTCGGAACCAGAAGGATATGTCCATTTGGGAATCGCGTGGCCAGATCCAAAACTTTATCTATTCGAAGATCATGATGTGGGTGGCCCTGGATCGCGGAATCCGCCTTGCGGAGAAGCGTGCTAGCCTGCCATGCCCCGATCGCTTTGACTGGATTAGGGTCCGTGACGAAATGTACGATGAAATCATGACCAAGGGGTACAACGAAGAGCGTGGCCATTTCTGTCAGAGTTATGAGAGTCCCGAGGTCCTCGATGCATCTATTTTGATTGCACCTTTGGTCTTCTTCGTTGCGCCCAATGATCCACGGTTTATCAGTACGCTGAGGAGGATTTTGCAAAGCCCCGAGAAGGAGGGTCTGTCCAGCGCTAAGATGGTGTTCCGATATGACCACCAGAAGGCCAACGATGGTAGGCATCTCTTGTGATCTTTAGATTGACTTATATAAAACTATAGAACAAGTGCTGATACTCACGTTACACAGGTATGGTAGGAGGTGAGGGTGCCTTCATCATGGTAACCTTCTGGCTTGTCGAAGCCATGGCTCGTGTAAGTTTTATGGAACTACCCCAAACAGGAATGAACTATGCTAATCAAGGTTGAAATTGGAAATTAAGGCTGCCAAATATGATGTGCCTATTCCAAATATCTGGAAACTCGCACTTTCGCACTTCGATAACATCCTGTCCTACTCGAATCACCTGGGAATGTTTTCTGAAGAAGTGGCCATTTCAGGTGAGCAAATGGGCAATTCCCCACAGGCTTTCAGTCACCTGGCCTGTGTCAGTGCTGCAATTAATCTGGGAAGAATTGGACGAGTTGGTGGTGACTAGAAGTCATTTCTCGCTCAATCGGTGGCATCTAACTAACTATAGACTGACTACGACACTTGGTTTTTTTTGGGAAAAAAAATTGTTCGATGTAGTTCTATAATTTTTTTTTTTTGTTAACAGTTAGAAAACAGAATACAAATTTGTTTCCTCTTTGTTATTTCACCAATATAGCCAATGTGGTAAATGTAGTGAATGTATGTTGTAGGAAACCATCCTGATGATCCAGCCAAGACAAATGCTTACATAACCAAACAGATGATCACCCGGGAGCTCCCAGGCCGCTACCCCAGATTCCCTTTATTATCATCTTTGGCTGTCTTTCTGCGAAACAAACATATCTGAATAAAGGAACTGCCGGGGTGTGTTTCTCTTCAGCTTCTAGCTGAAGGATGTTTTTCGCCAACCCATAGTGCCTTATTACCCCCGTGATCTTATATCCCCACTTGTCTAATGGCAGGCGCCAGCTTGGATTGGGCTGATAAGCCTAATGCCGATCTCGCCTTGTCATCGGATGAAGAGGACTTGGTTTCCAGCCCAAGTACTGTTTCAAGGGAGCTTGAAGGTGCTGCCAAACAAAATCTGACACTGGCTTTGGGGAAGCTACATTTGGAGCAAGAGGGCTTGAATCAATCCTCCGAACAAGACGCGACTCCAACAACTCCCCGCACCGAAGGCCCAAATCAAACCCCCCCAGAACTTGAAATGGCCAACAACCCTCTACAGCTGCTAGACTTACCTTTGGACATTTTGAAAGAGATCATCAAAGAGGTAACACAGGTCTTCCCCGCAGATCGTGAATAGATAGCTTACAGTTCTATGTATAATATAGGTGACCCATACGACTGACCTGACCTCACTCGCTCTCACTTGCTCTGCTCTTCATTCCCTAGCTATTCCGCACATGTACTCCCGTTTCGATATTGTCTGGCCCGAGTCGCTGAATCCATCAACGGATGACTACTCCGGGGTGGATGCTCTGTCATATGGTCTTTCCACATTGGTAATGGGCGAGGATGTATTCAATCGGCTGCCGCTGTTTCCATCTGGCCCAGTTAAAAATAGCTGTGTGAATTGTGGGTGCGATAACCTCCATCATCCGCCGGACTCGGCCCCTGGGGACAACGGAGTTCGCTTCCGGCCGAGACGAGGCAATAACTATGCACAGTATACCCGCACGTTTTCTATTGGAAATGGCCCGCTCAGCTGGGTACAAGAATACTCGGTGACCAAAGAAGTGGGTAAAATGCTGGGGACGCTGGTCGCTTTAGCAGTTGCACGGATGGTGAATCTCGAAGCCTTTATTTGGGATATGCCGACTGGAGTAGTCCGTGAAATTTGGCTGGCGCTTGCATCATTGGCAGAGCGGCCAGGTCACGATTGTCGACTAGAACGCATTTGGGTGCGCTGGCATGACAATTCAGAGAATGCTCTACGCAGTTCGTCAGCAGCGGCAACGAGGCTCTTCCAGAAATACAAACACGTGGAACATCCTTCTTTGTCGGTATTGCCTCCACTGAAGAGCGTGGCTGTTCTTGACATAGATGAGCCCGCTTATGTGGAGGAGCTGGCCCTTCTCATTGAGCGGTCGCGTCACCATCTGTCCGAACTCCGAATTGGTATTGCCGAAAAGGCCCATATGAGTGCGTGGCTGCTGTGTGGGAAGGACTCTGATGGTTCAACTAGTTGGCCTAGACCCGATGGCGTACTTGGGATCTTGGCACGGCAGCATCTTGACAACAAGCAGGACAATTCTATAATCGTCTGCTCTGGCGAGAAGCCGCTGCCATCCGAGAACTCGATAAGCGAGTCGCCAAACTCTACCGAGAGCACACCTCCATTGACTACCAATGGCGAGCAGCAGCCTCCCAGCACTAAGGACAAGAAGCCCCCACCCAACTCTGGTTTACCTAACCGAAGTGCATGCTCGCCGCTACCTTCCGATAGACCTGACTCTGAGATGCTTTATCTCAAAGTACTCGAGCTGGAACGCGTACCTCTTTCTGTGCCGACACTACTGCCGGCTGTTGACTGGACTGGACTGACCACTCTCACCATCATGCGATGCGAGGATCATGAAAAGCTGTGGAGGGCTCTCCGTCGCAAGTATGCTCCTCCTGCGATGCCGACAAAACGCCCACAGGACGCAGAGCGTCGAGCGAGTGCCAGCTCAGCTGAATACTCACTAAACTTGAAACACATTCGCACGGACACTGTTTCGCCTTATCTTATACTGTTTATCAAGGATGCGCTGGCTCCGAATACCCTGGAAAGTGTTTATTTGCATGAAGCTCCAGGCCACGAATCTGCTGTGCAGATCGATGCTATCTACAGGCATATTCTGCGAAAGCACAGGCAGAGTTTGCGAAAGGTGTTGATTGACGCCACTGACCGTACCATTGGCACCGGATATTCAGACACGCGATGGCACAAGTGGATGTTCAACCACGACATGATATCATTTGTTACGAGTGGAAAGATGCCGCATTTGAAAGAGCTGGGAATGGCGATGCACTATCGCGATTGGGTAAGAGAAGCATTGAATATTTCGAACTCGGGGGCTTTGTGCTAATGATGACTCCGCAGCATTTCTTCCTCCAGAGATTGCCGAATATGCCCCAGCTTCGTGCTTTGTATCTACCGCACATTCACCAGACCGTCCACCGCCACCTGAAAGAGCTTGCGCTTCAAGTTTTGGACATCGTCAGCATACGTCCAGACCTGAAGATCGCCTATATTGGTCTCCACATCAAATGCTATCAAATTCTTGAAGCAAGACACGACGATAACCCACTGTATTTTGACGACCACCCCACGATTGGTCATTCTCCGGCGCATAGCGAAGATGAGGGTGAAGGGTGGGCTAACCCCGACCACGCATCCAACGAAGGCAGCCAGCATTCCGACGAAGATGGCTCAGGAGCAGCTGACACAGATCTCCTTTCCAGTGACCCGGATGACTACGATACCGAACCCGACGAAGAACAGGGTTCTTCGCGTATTCGGTACCGGCTACAGGAGATTCTATTCCACGACGAAAAAGTATCCATTTTCAAGGCGCGTCATGGTGTTTTGTGATCTTATCTTGGCTTGCATGCTATATGTGGCAGGTGTTGGGCCATTTGCGGCGTTTTTAAAGGGGAACAGAGAGTTAACGAGATACCATGACTGTTTTTAGCTTAGTACTAAGGTTATTTGTTCATCTTGGAATGACAAGTTTTTTTTTTGGAGTTGTAAGGTTGAATGGGCCACTACAGTATAGACCCTATCCATTGTAATCCTACAGAGCGACACTTGAGAGCCTGCTTAACAACGAAAGCGGTACATTGTGCTACAGCTACTGGAATAAGGAGTTGATTCATTGAAATAATAATATTGTAGAATTGTCTTGTTTATGTCAAGGTAAAAAAAACAATGGGTATCTGAGAGGGTACGCTAATGTTCAATTGATATATTCATGGAGGCACAGATTGGTTCATGCGAACTCCTGGTGCACATTCTCATACTGGGCACGAATTAGCTCGGCCTCGATCACACGCCTCTTAGCCTTTTCTTCTTCGCTAGAATTGTCTTTGAACACATGGTCCATCTGCTCAAGGGTTCGGCCCTTGGTCTCTGGCACAAAGAAGAAAGTCCAGATTCCGGCGAGCAGGCAAAAGACGGCGAAGAAGACGTAAGCACCGTAGCCCGTGTCTTGGACAAGAGGCGGGGTGATGAGACCCTTCAGAAATAATTAGTACGCTTGACACATTGAGTGACCAGAGAATGGTAATGAGAAACTTACAATGATAAAGTTGTTGAGCCAGTTGGAACAAGTTGAAAGAGCAACACCCTTGGCACGAAGGGAAGAAGGGAAGATTTCTGGATCGGTCAGATTGATGGCTGGTGAACATGATGAATGGATAAAAATACGTACCTGAAGGCATAGCCCACGGGATAGGACCCCAGGTAGCTCCAAAGGCAAGCATGTAGAATAGTAGGAATGCAACACTGGTCCACCCTTGTGCTTTGTGAGACGGCCAATCAACAGAATAAATCCCGACCAAAGCAGCAATGATAACGTGGGATATGGCCATGAGGGCAGCACCACCTAAAAGCAACTTGCGACGACCGACAACGTCCATGGTCCAGATACTGGTAGTGACACCTACCAACTGTACAATGTTGAGAACGCCGGACATGATAAGTTGCATGCTCCTGTCGAGACCCATGGTCTCAAAGAGGGTTGGGGAGTAGTAAATTAGAGCGTTGATACCGATGAACTATCCATATAGTTAGCATGTGTTTGGTTATATCGTGACATACAAATAACTCACCTGTTGGAAGAATCCTAGTCCAATACCGATGTGAGTCCGACGCCAGCAGCCCTTCCTGAAGCAATCGGCCCACGACGACAGCTCCTGTAGAATGGAGTTCTTTGTGCCACCGCCTTGTAGATCTGGGTGGTTTTCCCTGTTCATTTGCTGGTGGAAGCGAACCTCGGCCTGGATATCCATAAGCTCCTGGCGGACGCGTCTGTCGGAGGCTGGCAGGGAACGGAGTCTGCAAAGACTATCAAGAGCTTCCTCATCACGACCCTTTGAAGCCAACCAACGGGGCGAGAATGGAAGAGCGTATACACCGGCGGCGAGGACAAACCCCGGGATCAATTGGAGCAGGAAAGGGAGACGCCAGGCCCATTCACCGACCATATATTGTGTGCCATAGGTAATCCAAAAGGCAATCACAATGCCTAGGACAATACACCATTCTTCAAGAACCAAGAGGGTTCCACGACATTCGGGGGACCTAATAAAGGAGACTGGAATAAGAATTTATATCACATGTGTGAGAGTAGGAAGACATACTGATTTCGGAGATGTACAATGGTGCAACCATAGACAACATTCCGATACCGATACCACCAATCAGCCGAGCCACCGTCAACATAGGATAACCATAGGCAGCGGTCTGGAGCACAGAGCCAAGAGTGAAGATAGCAACAGCGACTAGAATTGAATACCGTCGCGAGATCTTATCCGCAATCCAGCCCTGGTTGAAAGCACCAATCAAAGCGCCTAGCTCAATCATCGCTGTCAACAATCCTTTGGCAAAGCCTGAGCCTGGATTACCCTCGTCTATCCTCGGGAATTCCGTCAAGAACTGATCCATGACCAGAATCACGGACACAACACCTTGGTCATAACCGAAAAGCAAACCACCCAACGTCGAGCAGGCGGCACACAGAACCACGAACGGATTAGCTGCGAGACCACGTAGACCGGGTGGGCCATAAGGCTCGCGGTCTGAGGCAATGTCATCAGCATGGTGAGAGAAGCCTTCTACCGCTGGATCATGGGATAGTTTTTTCGTAACGGGAACATCATCAGCCATTTTGAATGGGAGATGAGATTGAGAGGCAAGTTAAAGAAAATCTGAAGATTATATTTCTCGTATTTCTTTGGTTGAAGCGGCAAACACTCTGATATTTAAACTCTTACCTCCGGAGACACTCCGGGGATATTTATACCCATTTTCCCATTTCTCTCCTTCCCCCCCTCTCTCTCTCTCTCTCTCCACTCCCCGGTTACCTCGCCGGGAATAGTATAACCAAGTTGTTCCGCTCCGTAAATCGGGGTCCCCGGTCAGGAAAGCCAATGAGGACCAAGGCGTGGGATGCAAGTCGGGGTAAATGACGGAGTCGCAGACGGTTCGGCCAGCGGGTTCGGGGAAGATCGGCGCTATTGCAATTGTGGGGGAAACACGGAGAAGCGACATAATAGCATATCGTTCATTGGCGGCGGCTATTGGCGTAGTTCATTGACGTTTCAACTTCCTTTTTCAGTCTATACTCGGCCTTTGAGAAATAAGAATAAGGCTTTCAGCCGTAACTTGGTGTTGTCTGGCCAGACCGGGTATGTATACGAAATCGGCATAGGTCAAGTTATGGAAGCTAGACAGGGGACAGGGCTTATTCCTGCAACATTCTTAAAAAGAAAAATATATAGATCCGTTTGTTGATATGAACTTATTGTATGCTTTCTATTCTATATGTACATATTGTATGTATAGCTCTATTCCGTACTCCATAACCCCAAGTAGCAATGTCACTACAGACTAACTATCACCCGGGATATATCCCAGATGAAACCTGCCAAGTTCTTCCCTGGGCATTTTCGGGCCGGACATACATTCGGAAAGTCAAGTGACTATAAGCCGATCTATCCCGTGATGGTATAGTTAGAGTATAACATAGATATATAGGTACAAGTACTCGGTAGAATACTAGAATACTAGAATCCCTACTATCATAGATAATATCCACAATTCCCCATGGGGAGAATGAGACTTTCTAAATCCACTTTCTTTTAATCCAAAAAAAAAAAAAAAAAAAAAAAAAACATCGGAATTCGTTGTCCACTTTTGCCTAAGCGGTGTCTCCCTTGGTGTCTTGGTGTTGTTCATTCCGGTAACCATTTTCCATTTCCTCCACGGATTCCAGTTCCCGACCCCTCGTTCCCCCTCCTCTTGCAATCTTCGGATTTCCCAACTTCCATTTTCTTTTTTTGAAAATCATGGCTTCCTTCATGGAAGACCTGTGGTCCAGCATCTTCACCCCAGGACCCACTCCAACCCTTTTGATCGCGACCAACGTCGCCTTCGCCGCACTCCAGTTTATCTTCCTCGCTCTCCTCCTAGCTACCTGTAGCCTCCACTTCGTCGCCCTATCCATCATTAGTGCTGGATTATGGTGGTCTATCAACTGGTTCGCTGCTGAGGTGCGACTTGCCCAGCAGGCGCAAGTGGCTGAAAAAGAAAAACAAGAGTCTGAGGGGGGTGACGCGAAGACGAAAAGTCCCGCTGTGGGAGAAAGCGTCGACAGCGATACGGAGACTGAAGCTTTCGATGTTAAGAAGACAGATGGTAAGCCTAGTGCTGTCGCGACCGGGAGTGCCACGTCCGGGTTGCTGCCCACAGCTCGCGATCCTAAGAAGCGGCCCAGCACTGGTGGTGAAGGATCTGGGTATGGAAGCACCGATAGCGAGTGGGAGAAGGTTGACGATACTAAGTCTTGAGGGACACTTGGCACTCAAGGATACACATAAACCTTGCTTCGAAATATCTACACTCTCACCTTGGTGGAACATGGTTGCGCACTGCATGTTTACCAGGCCCCGGTCCCCTCAACGAATGCGTAGGACGCGTTCATGGTGATACAAACTCTATGTCGACCCTTTTGCGTGCCTTGGCTAGGAACTGGATGGGATTTCGGATTGGATTTTGGATATGAACGCGTATATACGCATGCCCTTTTGTTTGTTTGTTTCGGAGCGATACCCCATACTATGTAGATGGTGCAATTTACAGTAGCTCGCGCTTGATTTTGATGTTAGCAGGAACCTAAGATCCTCTTTGAATATATCCATTAACAATAACATTCTAAACGATATCGACCGTATACTGTACGGATAAAGTAAATAGAATCGGAGTTGAAGCTTCAAAGAATCCACGTGACCACCCTCCAATCCAAACATCGAACTCCGTCGCAACATAACAGAGACAAACCATCGAACACGACCGGAGCAGCAACCAAAAACACCAGCTGCATCTCACAATGCCCGATGTCCCTTGATCAAAATGCTCTCAACCGTACCCCTCAATGTGGGACGTAGGCGCATCTGCGGCTCCGTCTTCTCCCCCGCGTCTCTCGAAGCTCATCCGCCGAAGTCGACTTCGGATTCCCAACGCGAGCAGACCCCAGTCGCGTCAGTCGAAGAATCAATCGACTCCTCGTCAACCTTCAAAGCAGACTCGCAATCAACCTCATTCGCGACGATTGGGGGATCGACGGACGCTACATCCCCAGAGGAAGACACATTGAATCAGGCGCGGCAGACCGCGAAAGAGTTCCTATCTGTACCCAATCTGGGATTCGATTTGCTTTACAACCTCCGTAATACCGATGGAAGTCAGGCATTGAAAGAATGGAACCGGCTCAGCCCTCCGTCGAAGGAGACAGCCGAGGCGCTGGAGTATCTTATGCGAACTTCTCCGTGGACATTGTTTGAATGGTATGGGAATGATATTAGGAGGCATTTCTTGGTCAATCTTCGGACTGGGATATCTAAGGTATGGACGCTGTGCGTCATTGAATTTGGTGGGTCCGTGCTAATGGTCTTACAGTTGTTAAAGTCCCCGGAGGAAGAAGGTCTGCTCCGGACAATTGTGAACTGCTTACAGCTTGCGCGTCGAATTTATCTCGCTCCCGTCGTCCACTATCTGATTCCTTTAATAGCTGCTCCCCACCAAGGAGGGTTCTTGGCTCAACTACAGCGTGCCTTTCATACGGTGGTTCAATACAGTCTACCCTGGAAAAATATTTCACCACTTCTCGCCAGAGAGCTCACACAAGATGCTGTGGTTATCTTAGGAATTGATACCCTGGATGAAGATTCCGATGCGGACAGAATGAGTCTCGATGGAATGGAGATGGAACGGGCATACTCGGTCTCGTACAAAGATTGGAGGCAAGAATCACCTGAAACCCAGGCACATATGATGGCCAAGGGCGAAAGTGGCTGCGTGACCATTGCACGGGATCAACTTTTGGCATTTCTCAACGGACTGCAGCTGGTCGGGCTCGGCGGAGACCAGGCCCAGAAGGTGTTCGCCAATGTGATGAACACCATGATGGGAGACTTCATTCGTGCCGCTTACGCCGGCGAATGGGAGTCGCCCTCAACCGCGCCGCAGCACCTGGAACAGTGGGTTGAAAACGTTTATGCACGGCTCGCTGTGCAGGTCCTGGACATCATCCATTCTGACCTCGCTGGAACCCAATCTGGGGCAATGGAAGTGAGCTTGCGCGACGTGGAAAAGTGGCGAGCGATGGGTATTGCCCGGCTGGGCAAGCTTCGAGTCAGCGAGCTTTTCGATGTGGTTGTTGATTGGCCTGCAAGCAGCGGGGCGGTAGAAGATCTGCGACGTTTCACAAACAACTCATCTGGAGCACGTTTATACGTGACGCATTTCTTCTCTATCAATTTGCTCCAGCGATTGTTGCATCCCGGTGCTTCTACAGTCGAGATCCTACAGGTTTACATCTCGATCATTCGAGCATTTCATATATTGGACCCCAAGGGTGTTCTGCTAGATCGTATCGCTCGACCAATCCGACGATACTTGAGGGACCGCGATGACACTGTCAAGGTGATTGTTAGTGGTCTATTGGCGGACCCCACGACAGCCGACGGACCAACAGCTACCGGCGACACCTTGTCAGAGCTGGCGGCAGAGCTGACCAAGGTCCACCAGCATTCCATGCAAAATAATAGGAGCGAGCTAGACTATGACGATTTGTACTGGGTGCCCGATCCAGTTGATGCCGCTCCTGATTATAAAAAGTCGAAGAGTGTAGATGTCATTGACAGTCTGGTTAGCTTGTTCGACTCGAAGGAGACCTTCGTGAAGGAAATGCAGACTCTTCTCGCAGATCGTCTTATCCAGAAACGTCAGAACTACGACCAAGAGATTACAGTGCTGGAGCTTCTGAAGGTCCGATTCGGTGATTCGGCACTACAGGCATGCGAGGTGATGCTGAAAGATATCTCCGACTCGCGACGTCTCGATCTCACCGTGCGGAATGATCAGATACTGTCCGGGTATCGGAAGCAAGCAGGCGTCGGAAAACTCCATGCCAAGATTCTATCCCGCTTCTTCTGGCCGGAGTTCCAAGAACAAGAATTCAAGGTCCCCGATGAAATTATCAAACTGCAAGAGCGGTACGCGGCTTGCTTCGAAGGGCGCAAGGACTCGCGCAAGCTCATGTGGCGCAACGCCCTGGGCCAGGTCACCGTCGAGCTGGAGTTAGAGAATCACACCTTCAAAGACGAAGTGGCAACCTGGCAAGCAACCGTAATCTATGCCTTCCAGTCCGACTCAAGCGAACCCGCTACAAAAACAATCCCGGAACTCGCCGATGAGCTCGAGATGACACCTCCCCTTGTACGCAGTGCCTGTCTCTTCTGGGTCAGCAAGCGCATTCTCACCGAGGTACACCGCGACATCTTCCGCGTGTTAGAAATTCTCCCCACAGAAGACGAGGAACACCATGCGCACGCAGCCGGTGACTTCAGCGATGCCTCGGACAGCGAAGCAGGCGATACGGCCCACGCAGCGGCAGCGGCTGAAGCAGCGGCGGCCGCAGCAGCAAAGGAATCCGCCGAGGCGGCTGCCATGGAGAAAATGAATGTGCATTGGCAGTTTATTGTGGGCATGCTCACGAATCAAGGACCAATGGCTCTGAACCGCATTGTCATGATGTTGAAGATAGCCGTTCCAGGCGGGTTCCCGTTCAGCAACGAAGAGTTGCGCGAGTTCTTGGGTGGTATGGTTTCAAAGGGCAAGTTGGAGATTGTTAACGGCGGTAATTACAAGATCGTGCATTAGCATCAGCCAGGCGTCTGTCGAGTGTGAGCGTTTTTTTCTTCTTTTGGCGTTGCTGGAACCGATGTACAAGAATACCCTGGAAAGAATATGATTTATGAATGATAGATGGACGAAAGACGAATTAGGTAAATCCATTATAACGGAGGGTTGTCAGCTTCTTCCTCTTCTTCGCATTTCTCCAAGGCCCTTCCCCCTTTTTATATCTTCCTTTCTATAAACCATCTTTACTCACATTCTTCAGACACGAGATGGCTTGAGAAGGTTTACACCAAACACCAAACATGCCGGTATATTCGGGTTGTTGATCGCGAACGAAGCGCACAAAATGAAGAATAAGGGGACGATATTATCATCTGGGCATTGCCGAGCCTCCAAGAAGTTGCTACTAATAGCATATCATATACAACATAAGAAGCGATTTCACTCTCTTTCTTCGCGCCATGAACCCAATCACAGAAGAGACGTAGGGCTAGAGTGGCCTACTACTCTGTCTTGGACTCCAACTTCCGTGTCCGCGATGTCTCTGGTGTTGTTGACGCTTCCGTTTACCCCAAGATCCCCGGTAATAATTCTGCTGGAGTGGTTTGTATCTCTAGGAGGATTAATTTATTCGCAATTGATATGAAGTTTACTGTCTATCAGTTTACTCATCTCCAAGCTATTTTTATCCTACACGTCATTGATTCTACCACTACCACGTCAAAAGAAAGGACCAACTCCTACAAACAAACCTACTACCCGCGATCCTGTCAGCCAGATTGAACTGCAGTCCATCCACGTATTGCAGCGGGCTTTACCACACTACATTTGAGTAACAGTATCATATTCGCTAGCCAGACTAGGGCTAAGCTAATTACACTCTATCAGGGGTTACTAGCGAAGACTTAGTTGCAACAATGCGACAAGCATTGTCACCCGACCCAGTCGTGCCTGACCACAATCGCCAAGCACGGACGAACGGCGAGGGAACTACCCTCCTGGCAACGCTGAAGACTCTGTCCCAGGCTGTGCAAGATCTACAGAAAAAGGCCGAGGCCCGTGAGAAGGACATGCTAGACACGGACAAGAGCCTTGCCGACATAGACAAGAGGCTTACCGACACGGACAAGAGCCTTGCCGACATAGGCAAAAGGCTTACCGACACGGATAAGAGCCTTGCCGACACGAAAACCAATCTAGAGACTATGACCAAAGACCTCAAAGCGGTGGAAAAGACCCTTATCAAATATGAGCATACGTTCGATGCGTATACAATTGAGGTACGCTCAACTGTACTCGACAAATGGGCTGGGAAGCCTATCAGCAATACTAGGAAGTCTCAGCGAAATGCTACTACCCACGGAGGCAATATCCTTGCGGATTATGATGTTATCCTCCAGGAGGTTGACCGGCAAGACTCGAGGGTAGACCGGTGGAAGCCGGCGTTTGCATCTTACTACAATGTGTCGTGGGAGTTGCTTCATACCCGTGGTGGGCTCGATTCAGTTAGTAAAGAGCTAGTTCGGATCTTTGACTATCTTGCGGATACTAGATCGCTTGAGAAATGGGAGGAAAACACATCTTCCAAAAGGGTTCAAGTTCGGGCTGAAATTGTTACAATATGTACTAGCTGGATCGATAAGTGGGTGAATGGTACTATGGATACCAATCCGACGAAACCTCAGATGGAGAGACTGCGACAATTCTCCCATCAGACATAGCTCCTCCCCTCCTATAAGAACCCTCCCACTGCTGTTTACCGTTTCTTCTTGCTATTCCCTATCATTGCACGATTTTTGTTATTGTTAAATTGTTTAACGTCTAGCGGAGCGGAAGTGGAGCTATATGATCCTATCTTCCTCGCTCCTTGACCTATTAACATTAACTTACGGGCTCTTCATATTACTATATATGTTGTAGTATTCTTATTCTTAATCGATCTCTATCATCTATGTTAGGTATTGGTATCCAAAGACTTTTAGATTCTTCCTATACACGTACATTACTTAACAGCTATGGGTATACTTTCAGGTAGTTGGGTATAATCCAACCACATTCTATTGTTTAGCTGAGGGAGAGGTCAGTTATACTCGTTCGACTTGGATGATTCTCACCCGGATTCTTACTATCCGTCGCGCACACACCTTTCTCACACACCTTTCTCACCCTAAAACTTCCAATGGATTCTAAATGACTTATACTCTATAATTCTTATGCAACAGTAACCCAATACATACGACCATAGGGTGTGGAAAATAGGGCTTCCCGTCCGCTCAGCCGTACTCAAGCCACATATTCTGCACAGTCAATAGTCAATGTGCCCTTAGTACCTAAGTGATACTCTAGGGTGAGTGCGGGTGATATGGGTGAGAAGTCTCGAGACTGGGGTGAGAGAGGTGAGAACGGAGTGACAATTCTCACCCTTAAGGTGATAAATGCTAACTCACTCTAAACCTATGCCAGTCCTAAGAAAAAGATATAAATACAAAGCCCCGAGGCCCTTCTCTTACTCTACCACGATTTTCTTTAAATTTCTTTCCTATCTAAAATATATTCTCCGAAAACAATCTCTAGAAAGCCCTCTAGGAGCGTATTGTACGTGCCGTACTACGTGGTTTTATACGTGAATATTAAAACGAGAAGGAAGATAAGGATAATACTATCTACTACCGTAAGCTAGCGCCTACTACGTTAGAAAAATACGATTATATAGTTGTTACCTAGGCTCTATAAGTTTGACTCGTATCTTACCGATCTTAGTTCCTAATTATTAGTAGATAGAGGCTTTCCTATAACGAGTCTATAGATTCGAATTTTCCTAACTTGCCTATCCCGACTCCTTAACTTTTGAAACTTTTCGTAGAGTTTTATATTATATCGCGTAAATATATCCCGGCTTAAAAGTCGGTTTATAATATATTAACTAGCTTTACGTTACGGTAGGAGCGAGATACTTCTCGACCCCTTTCCGATAAGGTTAAGCAGGACGTTCTTAACGTATAAGGTAACAACTGTCCTTCTCTGGAGCTAGCTGCTAATAAGAAAAACAAAAGTATATTAGAACTGCCCTGACAGTGAAATACAAACTCCCTACAAAGCCTAGAGAGCGGTTCCTTGTCAACGGAAAGGACATAGATTACCTGCTTCGACACCTATTTGTGGACGACTGTCACGATTATTTATATGAGAGAGCACGTGTCCAGACCGGAAGTTCTCTCTCTTTATTTGCTGGGTCAGGTGCAAGAGCAGGGGCTGTTATCGAATCAAGTGCTTATCGCAACTCAAATGAATGCTTTGATATTACGTGGATCGAGTAATCCAGCTTCGACTAACACAGTCATTGCAAAGGCGCTCAAGGCGAGCTTGGGACCCTTCACCCACCACACAGCCGCACGAGACAGGCATAGAGTGCACCTCATTCGCTCATAAGGCAAATTTTCCGTGGAAACTGGAGATAGCGTTTTCAACACCTGATTCGCGTTGAATTATTTCGCTGATTTCGTGCGCTTTCTGCCTTGAAGATGGATTCAGAGCCTCCAAGATAGCGTCTGCCAGCCTGTCCACAGTGAGCTTTACAAGGAATTGGAGACGGACCAACTCTATGGCCGTGACGTTGATCGCCTTGAGAAGCTCCGGACTATCAAGACCAAGTTTGATCCTTACAACAAGTTTGGATTCTGTTGTGATATGAGGCTGGTGCAGATCAGGAACCAAGCCGCACCGTCGGAATTAGCTCCGAAGTGCCTATACAGACGACCAAGTTGATTTCCAATCAACTTGGCTCATTGTTGTATATATAGGCACATGTATCACTCTGAAATAAGAAGTCAATCCATACCTCTGAACAACAACAGATTCTATGCTTCCCTCGCAAGCTCTTGAGGCCATAAGAGGAAAGACAAGTGAAAGGAGCCGGAATATAGGTTTATAGAACCAACCCTTCTTCGCCATCTTGAACTGGTCCTAAACCCCTTCGCTGGGTGGATAGCGTGGAAAATGCCACTTCCCCTGCGATTAAGCTATGTAATACACTGTAGTTAGCGATACCAGCTGCCGGCGGAGCGATTGACGTTACATTGAGAAACAACTAGTTAACGTATTCGGTAAGCGAGTGGTTATTGTAAGCGAGTGGCCATCTCCAAAACACATAGTAAATTGGATAAATTACAACTCGATATCTCAACAATAGGGTTCTATAGGGGCTTTTCCTTTAAACTCAATATATTTCATATATAATCTAGTATAGATGGAAGTTTCGGGGAATTTAATAAGTTTATAATTGAGATATATATATATATGTATTCAAGTTCAGCGTTGTAATATTCGTTACCGTAGTAATTAAGCTGTTCGATAAACTTAAAATTAATATAAACTGCCTAAAATGCTTATCGATTACTATCGGCATAGTAATAAAATACAAAAAGAACGTGGTTGTTGAGATAGTACCTTGACCGGCTGCGCGCCACTGTTGCGATGGATGGCGAATGCGATTCTTTATTGCCGCCGCCTTCGGTCGACGGATGCCTGGTTGGCAGCGAGCACGGGATTGTGTATTGTGTGTATTCGGATCTAGTTTCCAGTGCGAGGGTCGATAATTGGAGGCCGGCGGGTCTTTACGAAGAGTTTCGGAAATTTTTCTCATCACGTCCAGGTATTCGACCTCCCAGGATTTAAGCTTGTCGTGTGCCGCATCATGCCACTCTTGAGTCGGAGTTTCGGCGGCCAGTGCTTGGAGGATGGACACAGGCACCTGACCAATACCTGTTTGGTGGATGCGCCACTTGTTTGGACTAACTGCTTTGGCCAGGTTATCCGAATACAGGTTAAAACAATCATTCCTTGACGGATTAGCTTTGCTCGGTGCAAAAGTCTCGCATATGTTACAGTTCTATTCTTTACTATTCGTGAACACGCTTCCTGGGATAACTTAACGTATTCTAGATTTGGACAACCAACAATACTTCTTTGAGCTCAATATCCCGCGCATGCAGCACCCAGTTTCAAAAGCGCGTTAATCCACTTACTGGCCTCGGGGTGCTGCACGTTCTAGAGTGTATAAACAATCTTGTACGCCGAGATCTTCCCATCTCTATACTCTTGAAATCCCTTAGGCACTGATCCCAGGCTTTGGTAAGATTTGGGATGACTGGGCTTGAGGATTCCTTTCTCCAACCAAGCAGGAAGCTTCTCGAACAACTCCGATGACAACTCATGGTCCTCTTTGGAGGCCTAAGAAGACGACACATTAGCTCACCAGAAACTTTATATACCAATAGTTTTACGGCTTACTGGCCACTTGAACGTTCCATATGCATGGTCCTTTAGGAATGCAGTCCACACCAACACATCCGTGACGTGAGCTCCTGGGGCCACATTCTCAGTGTTCGCCTTGCCTGGTCGTACAGTACACACGTTGCCGATCCCATCTTGCAGGGCCTGCGAGGCAGTAGGCGAAGAGGTAGTATTGCCGATGGTATCAAAGGCGTATCTGAGTGTAGGAGCCACACCTTTGATCTTGCCAACCACTTCTTCATCCTTATAGTCGAAGACATGACGAGCACCATACGAGCGCGCTAGATCTGCATGCTTTGGGCTGCAAGTAGTGATAACTTTCATGCCATACATAGAAGCCACCTGGATGGCGTACAACCCAACACTGGCTATTATAATGAGTAATAAAATCACTGGAGGTTGATGATCTAGGGTTCGACGTGACTTACAACTACCACCCCAAACCAAAACGCTACTGCCTTTGTCTTGCTCCCGATCAATAGCCAGAGAGCCCTTGGAGAACAAGGCCAACCAAGCGGTTGCTGCTGCCAAAGGAACAGTACTTGCGTGTTCTGGAGAGACAGTTGACGATAGCGGAAACGAGATTCTCTCATCTGCCAAGGTATATTGGCTGTAAGCACCCAGACCCTTAATCTCGCCTAGGATAATAGATATGTCAACATGTCTGGGCATTAATCGCACAGCAGTTAACTTACCACCCCAGATCAACCCCGCAAGAATATCGCCTTTCTTATAACGTCTGACGGAGCTGCCGAGCTCAACACATTCCCCTACGAAGTCACAGCCGAGCACAGCACCATCTCCAAACGCATTACCATCAAGGCTCTGGACTGTATATAGTCAGCTTTGAAGATGGATTGACGATGCTATAACGATATCATGCGAAATGACTTTTAGTTAAAAGCATGGAACAAGACTTCACTACTTACCATCAGTCGGATTCTGCGCAACGTGAGAAATCTTCACGAGGATTTGATGACCAACAGGAACTGGAAGGTCGATCTCTTCTTTGGACAAGCGCGGGGACTGCTCGGCAGATCCGCGGTTAACCAAGGCTGTCATCTTGGAGTCAATGGCCATTGTGGGTGTATTAAAGCTCTGCTTGAACCTAATCTGTCAGTTGTGATTCGTTGTAATTCCGGTAAGGGCCAGAGTTGTAGAATGAGCACCGAGTCGCCTTAAATATTGTCACTCTTGAGGTATGTTCGATGTCATCGACACAAGGGAGCTGCTTCTAAGTTCGTCGACAATTTGTAAGCTATAATTTGTAAGCAAAGGGATGGCAGGGAAAGTGCCAGGTGGGGACCCTTTGAAAATATCCGAGAGCAGGTGGAAGCGCACGTGGTGGCGATTGTACCGTTTGTGGCATGGCAAAGATGTACCCGCGGGGCAGGTAGAAGGGCTTTTGATGGCGATTGCACTGTTACCAACTTTTGAAAGCAGGCATAGCCATGGACTTGTTTGGCCCCGTGGGGCTTCTGAATCAAGTAGGTTTTGCCTCCGGCTGAACTTTAGGGCGTCGCGTATCAGCTCTGATGAATAAATCGCTGAAGGAATGTAGTTCGGCTGTTATGCGGACATCCAGTGTGTACTAAGGCACTAGGACACAATGCATTAACTGGCCTTAGTAAAAGAGTAATTTCCAAGTCCCCTGGAGCTCTAATTCTCAGTGAACGGTCGGGACGTGAAACCTTGCAACGTCATTTTCCGTTAGTTCAATGCAGGCAGAGACCTACTATTGAGAGGCAAGAGCTAACCTCTCAGACTCTGTCACTCAGTCTTTAGTCTTAAGAATCTACTTCACCGCTTTCTGGCTATTTCTTGACTTTCTGTGAAATGTCCGTCCCTAATCTCGATTTCCAACACCGAAGACCGACTAGGCCAACCCTGCCGCCTCTTTTCCGGCCAAACTTTGGAGCCAACTCATGAAATGAGCTGCATCGTCCGGAACCTGGCCTTTGTAAGAAGAGGTGACGATGACAATGGGCTGGTCCTTGGGCAACGCGTCTTTAGCGATAGCGAAAGAATCCACTCTCCTCGCGTTGAATCCATGTGCTTGGGCATCGACGGCGAGCCGGTAGGCGAGGGCCTTACAAGTATCGCTATTAGAGCCATTAAAGATATTGAGAGGCTTGCCCGAAAGCTCCTCGGTTCTCTGGGGGAATGGTCGCTCGGCACTTCCGGGGGAAGCTACCATAACCCTAACTGCGGTGAAGGGCCCTGTCGATCATCGCTAAGATTTGAACTATATGAAGGTAGCCTGGTACTCCCTTTGCTTCTTGCTTTCGGCTTCTTTACCTAGCATGGGAGGAGATAGAACTCGAGGCACATTCTGTAGTTCGCAGTTTTTGCGATCCCATTTCAAATGTAGGACGCGGAACAATCCCCAGGCTCCGAGCTCCTCTGTGCATCGGATGATTACCACAATGACTGACCCCGTACTAGTCGGGGAGGGAGTTTCAGGGCTTGGATGGCTGGAATTGCCTTTTTCATAGACGGAACGGGTGTCAATGTCATTTTGTTGAGGCTCTAGAATCGAACAGTCGTTTGATTGTGGTGGATGTGAACGTAAGGCATTTCTATGTGCCGAGTCGAGAGAGAGCGACTACAACCACGTTAGGCTTACAGTTTACTCTCGCTGAAATCGTCTCCTCTACATATGTACATCTTTTCACTTATTACGTACATGTGCATCAATCATTCGCAATGATCATAGGATTAAGCATCAGCATCAATAGCCCATATGGCAGACTTTCTTATTCCGTGTCTCATTGACAAATCGAGCCTTCGCCGCTTTTCGGCCAAATACTTCTTACTCTAAGCAATCTTCTTCCTGTTTCAGCGAAAGTGGGAACATAGGGAAGCTTTACGTCATCACACTGTGGTGCTTATGTAAGGTACACGGCGCTTCTACTTTCCCTCGTCCGAGCGGGCGGTGACTGCCCCGGCCCTTAGTTTCTCGTCGCCTGCGCATCGACATATCCTACGTTCCACATCTCCTGCTTTTCAACTGTAAGCTTGTGCCATGGAATCTTCCCCGGATAGTGGAGATGAGATAGTTGCGAGTTATCGCCCAGTCCGGAAAAGGACTAGAACCGGCTGGTGAGCTTTTTGGCCTGCTTCTTTAGAGACCAAGTATTGACGAGGGGATTTAGCATTCAGTGTCGCAGCCGCCGTCGCAAATGCAAGTCCGATCGATTTTTATTTTGTTAAGGTGTGGCAAGGGCTGATACCATGCAGGCGATGAGGCACGACCACGATGCCGTAGTTGTGAAGTGCGAGGCCAAGTCTGTCGATGGGGACTTAAGGCGTCGTTCCATCCCTCACGTACAATTAGTTTGTCACGTCGTGAAGCGGCTGCATTGTATGAAGTAGAAGAAGGGCGAGGGAGGAGGTCGAGTCGGCATCGGCAATTCGTTGATGAGACCAACGTCATCATCGATGGATACTCGACACCTGATAACCCTTCCTGCGGGCCTCACCTTCCAGCTCAAGATGAATCTTCACCTAGCCATGTCTCTCACTCACCATCACAGCCGATTCCTGGAGAATTGAGCATTGCCGATCTTTTTACGCAGCGAAACCTGCCAGCTTCAGACATACCAGCAAGCCCAAGCGGTAACCATGATCTACCTCCGCTCATTCAGTCCCGGCGGTTTCATTCAGTGTCCGGGCCTACGGCGACGAATACACAAACTCATCTATACCCTTTCTTGCTAGGCCAGGCAAGATCAAAGGACGCAACCCCGCAGCCAGTGCCACAATTTCCAGTCACAACTGGGGAAAAATTTCAACTTATTTCCGCTTTTATACAGGAGACAGGTACCTGGTGCGAGACAACTGACTCCCAAATGCACTTCACCGTGAAAAGCATTCACGAGATGATGAAGTCATCCTCATTTGTCGCTGCTGCGCTATCACTCGCCTCCCGCCAACTAGATTATTTTCATATGCGACAAAAGCCCGTGACATTAGAGCTTTACCAGTTTACCATTCAGTTGCTCCTTGGCCAAGACCCCGTTCAAGCCGACACGTCCATTTTGGCTACTTGTACTCTTCTCTGCGTTTACGAAATGATGGCCTCGCGAGTCGAAGAATGGAGACGGCACTTGAAAGGCTGTGCGGGATTTCTGCGGGCCCAAAGATGGAATGGGTCTAGCGAAGGCATAGTGAAGGCGAGCTTCTGGGCCTTTGCTCGAATTGGTGAGTAAACTCATGAACTGCAAACATGAGCCCATGGCTGATTACGAACGTAAAAGATGTGTGGGCAGCCTTCAATAGCGGCAAAGCGACGTTAATCCCAACAGAGTCTTGGGTAGACAATATGTGTATTGATTATGTTCTGGCCAACGGAGACTTGGATGATTATTGCAATCTTGCGAACTTAATCTTCGCTAAGATTGTGAATATTCTCTCAACTTCCCAACAATCTAGAATAGAAACGAGGACAGCTGGATTAAAAGCCTCCCTTTGCACCTTTTGGGACGAAATGCAAAAGTGGTACCAGCTGCGACCATCAGAGGTCTGTCCGCTGCTAAGAGATTTCGCTCCCACAAAGGTTTTTCCAGAAGCGCTATATATAAGATCTGCTCCAAGTAAGATATTTCCTCATTGAACAATGAAAACGTGGCTGACTTTCTAGACTGCGGCAATACATTCTACCATTCAGGCTGTATGCTGCTTCTACAGACCGGCCTCGTTACGCAGGGACCGGAAAATCTACATACATCATCCCAACAAGAAATCGTGAGTTCAGTTCTGCTCTTGAAATCCATTGATTCTTTTAGCTCACTAGGTCTCAGGGTAATATTATCTGGCACGCACGGGAACTAGTCGGAATCTCGATTTCAAACCCATCTCAGTATGTTGAGCAGCAATCTTCCTAGAGCTTTGTAGTAGGCAAAAGAACCAGGCTAATACTTCTCCGATGTCAAGTGCCAACTGGGTTAATCAACTTCAACCGTTGTTCATCGCCGGGACAGTATTAGGAAGTTCCGTAGCCTTCCCATCGGTCCGGGATACTCTGTCCTTGTCCCCAGGTGATGGACCGTCGGTCGCTGAAAATCATGATTCAGATGAGTTCTGTTCTGAAAAAATCCTACTATTAAAACATCTAGCTAGAATTGAGCGTGAGACGGGCTGGAAGACCTCGGATCGGGCCGCTGAGCTAAGAATGCTTTGGGGTTTTGTGTGATACAGCATGGATTGGAACAATAACCTATGTAAGTTAATGTCATTTTGCCAGTGGTGGGCTTCTACATCTATTCGAACCCTCAAAATGCGAATCCCCTTACTCTGCGATTGAACGTCCATTTTCCATCCCATTCAAGCGACTGTGGTATTTCGAGTTCGAATATAGTTCCTCCCAGTAATCACAGCCTCAAGTGCGAACCCACGAATTGAGAACAGCCTTTGACGAGAAGAACTCTTGAACATCTTTCACGAACAAATCAGGGCGCTCCAGGGACGAGAAATGACCACCCTCCTCGTACTCCCGCCAAAATTGTATGTTAGCAGCCTGATTTGCCCAGTCCCGGGGGCACTGTCACAACTGTGTTAGGATACCTTGAAAACAATTCGATGGACTTGGGACTTTCTTACGTGGAGTTGCTCCTTTGCATACATGCTCACGCCAGTAGGAGCAGACACATACGTCTCGAACGTCTTTTCAGCCTCGTGCATGCCACGGCCAAACGCCTCCCGGTAGAAGCGCAGAGCAGGAGTGGCGCCCTGTACCCAGTGCATCATGACAAGCGTGATGATGTCATCGTCACTGAACGCATCGTACACATCGGCCCAATCGTGAATCTTCTCCACAAACCAGGCAAGCAATCCGACAGGCGAGTCACCGAGAGCAAAGCCCAGAGTTTGAGGCCTGGTTTTTTGTTGCTCGAGATAGCCACTCTGATCTTGCTCAAAGTTCCACCGAACCTGCAGTGCCTTGTGCTCAAATGCCGAGTATGTAAATGCCGAAAAGCACCAGCGGATGTACGCGGCGGGAGCCGAAAAGAGGGTTGGCGGAGGCACTGGGAACATGTTCAGATGCTGAGCTCTGACTAAATCCGGATATTGTATGGCCAAAGAGCGGGTGATAAAAGATCCGAAGTCTCCTCCCTGCGTGACAAACTTCGGATAGCCCAAGACTTCTGTCATCAGGATTTTGTAGGCGCGCGCGACAACATTCGGTCCAACTCCAGATTTGGTCGGCGCAGGGGAAAACCCAAAGCCGGGTATAGATGGGGCAACAACATGGAAAGCAGGGTTATTGGCGTCCTTTGGGTTGCTCAGTGGCTCAACAACCCGGCGTGCCTCAACAAACGATCCTGGCCAGCCGTGGGAGAACAGGAGAGGGATTGCTTTGCTGCTGGAGGCACGCGCGTGAGTATAGTGAAGCACAAGAGTGCCATATCCCGGGACATTAAGCTTCACAATGAAGTGGTTGAAAGCATCGTTCAGGATTTTCTGAGGAAGAATTAGATCGATGTTAAAATGACACTACAAAGACTGCAAAGGTCGTTGCTTACCTCTTGTGTATCCCAGTCGTACTTGCTCTTCCAGTGCTCCGCAAGCTGTTTTACGCGAGAGATCTTAGCGCCTTGGGCCCAATTGTTTTCGTTAAAATCAGACTGCTCTTCGGGATAGCGAGCTAAAGCCAGCTTCTGCTTGGTGATTTTCAATAGCTCCCGGTCCACGTGCAGCTCGTAAGGCACTGGGACATTGAATTTCAACTGGTCGAGGGGAATTGGCGATTGGAGTATCATGCTGGAAAGGACGGAGTATTCTGGTTACACTGGTAGTGATAGTCGCAGTGCCGCACCGATATCGTACCTTTAATGGAGTCCGTACAATTGAAAGCCTGTTAAGATGCTGGAGTCGAAGAGGTTCTCTGGAGTTATGTACCGCAGTGGGGCGGGCTATAGAGAAATAATCTATGCCAATCGTCATGGTTGTCTTAAACTTGCCTCTTGTGTCGTCAAGGGGCGAAGCGGGAGGTCGCATGAGGGTGCAATCGCAAGCGCAAGCGCCGCTCAATCTCCTGATATGCGGGGGTTTCTCCGCAACCAAACTACTGTGCCGAAGCTCGAATGCCGAAGACATATACTAGAAACCAAGACCATGCACAATATCTGGGCCCCAGATGAGCTAAGCCTACATTCTGCTATATTCTAAAAAAATGAGGGCCAGTGGAAGTCGGAAGGGGAAGTGGCAAGTACAGCCGCTCTGAATTTTTGCATTTGCATCGTGTCCACTGAGAAGCACATGGCTATATTTAAATACCAGCCCTGTTCCTGTAGATGAAATTCTTGGAAAATTATCAAGTTGATTGAAATTTGTGAACCGACGATTCTGGACAATTCTTGAGTCTGCTGCCATGGGTCGATCCAAAGAAGTCATCATCATCGGTGGAGGCATATCTGGCCTTGGAATGGCGGTTCAATTGAAACGTCTTCTTGGTCATGATAACTTCACTATCTATGAGAAATCAGATAATGTCGGTGGGACATGGTGGCACAATCGGTACCCTGCTTGTGCGTGCGATATCCCGAGCCACTTCTATTCGTACAGCTTTGCATTGAAGCATGACTGGACTACGATGTTTCCTGGCAGGGATGAGCTTCATGCTTGTAAGAAAGATCTACTTCGTGGTTAACTCTTAGCTGACATACCACGAGATTTCTTTTCCGTCGCCGAGCGATTTAACATTCTACCTCACTGTCAATTCAATGCTATGTGTACCAGCATGACTTGGGACGATACTCGCTCCTTGTGGGTTGTGACTTTCGAGGATACCAACTCAGGCGAGATCTTCATTCGCGAATCTCCTGTTGTCGTCAGTGCAATTGGCACACTTGATCGCCCGGCCATCCCCTCTATCGACGGAGCCGATTCTTTCAAGGGCGAGATGTTCCACAGCGCCGAGTGGAATGATAACTTTAAGCCCAATGGCAAGCAAATTACCATTATGGGAAACGGTGCATCGGCTACTCAATTTGTTCCTGAGCTGGTCAAGTCAGTCGGACCCAAAGGCAAGGTGACCCAGCATGTCCGGAGCTCTCATTGGTGGACAAAGCGAGTAAGTAAGCTTTACATTAGTCACATTATGATTCTAATCACTGCAAAATAGGGAAATCCCACTTATTCTGAGCCATTCAAGTTTGCTTTAAAGTACTTGCCGCTCGCCGCTCGACTCTACCGTGTCATCCTAGCTTGGCAGCTGGAGAGCACTTTTTATTCATTTCACATGAACAGCGATGGTGCAGCTATGCGCCAGAAGATCCGAGATGCTACCTACTCCTATATAGAGAGTGAGGCGCCAGCTAAGTACAGAGATATTTTAAAGCCAGACTATGAGCCCGGTTGCAAGCGTCGAGTCAACACTGCCACCTATTTGAAATGCCTTCATTCTCCACAGATGATGCTCACCACGGATGCTATTATCAAGATTGGGCCAGACTACGTGGAAACTAAAGAGGGAAAGCAACACCCAGCGGACGCAATCATCTATGCCACTGGTTTCCAAACCCATAAATGGTTGTTTCCTATGAAAATCAAAGGCATCGGTGGCAAGGACCTTCACGATCAGTGGGACGCATCAGGGGGTGCTGAGGCATATAAAGGTACTGTCGTGACTGGCTTCCCCAACTTCTTCATTCTGTATGGACCCAACGCAGCGACTGGTCAACACTCGGTCATCTTCCACTCCGAATGTCAAATCAACTACTCATGCCGTTTGCTTCGCCCTGTGCTCCGCGGCGGTGCCGAGTCAATAATGGTCAAGCGAGAAGCTCAGAACCGAGACCTTTCCTGGGTTCACGACAAGTTGCAACATCTCGTCTTCAACAGTGGTTGCCAAAGTTGGTGGATGGACCCGGTTAGCAAGAAGAACACTTTCATATATCCTGATCCTATGTACAAGTACTGGCTACGCACAATTTTCCCCCGTTGGTCTGACTTCGATCTGCGCCAAACGGGTCAATCACGGAGAAGGTATTTGGTACTGGGCTGTTTTGCAGCAATTGGTCTTATCGGATACTCTGCCGTGGGGGTGCAAGAGGCGGTGCAGCTTATCGATGAAGCTTCGTCCTGGTTTTCGCTCCAAACTGGCTGGCAACTTGGTAGCCTCTTCTGGTGTATCTCATAGAGAGGACCTTTAGAGCTGAGAAATAGAGGCGGACCTTTCCCTCGTGGCAGCACACCACTAGCAATCAATTCATTGTCAAGTGACAGTGGAAGACGACAGATGATTCCAATAACGCAGCTACCATCGACAGTTCATGTATGGTTTTCTATAAATTGAATTTCATATCGCAATTTGCTTGGGAATAACTTCATTTCATTACGTCTAGATCGTCAAAATCACCCAGGTAGCGAAAGCTTTTGACGCGGCGTGTATCTCTGTTCGCTTCTTTCTGGTAGTCTTCCTACACGTCACAGACTAATAGCGGTTCTAATTGGAGGGAGACGACGGACCAGGGAACCAAGAAGTTAGAGCAATAGGAATGACATCGATATAATTAAACAAGGCGCCTCAACAGAGAACCGCCGCCCTGCTGAGTTTGGGTCTCCTGATCTAATGAAAACCTCGGTCTATGTAGTTTTTTTGCTAGCTCGTGTTCGTCCTCTAGCGAGTTGACTAAGAACCCATATAAACCTAGTAGACCAAAATTCTGATTTGTTCCAATACATCGTTACCGTACAAGAAGCTCTCACGCAAGTTAATAAAGTCTGCTTTCACTCATGCTTGAACTTTACCTTTTGATCTGTGTAATAATCAAAAGACTATCTATCAACTTCAAAGTCCACTAAAAATGACCCAATTCGTGAGATCTACAGGACCAATCCCGACTAAGCATCACGTCGAGCTTCCCCATTCAGCGAGAGTCCTCAGGACATCGAAGCAAAACTTATGTGAGACGATGTCGATGCTGAGATTATCACAAGGATATATGTATTGTATGATGAGAGTCTCATGTTAATAAGCACCAAATGCGGATGGTATTCCCACTGCTGAAGATGCGAATCAGTTAATGGGATAGTGGTAGAAGCATAGTATTTCCATGCGCCCGCTAATTGGCGACCCTTACTCCTGCCGCGCGGCGCTGCGTTATTTGTTTCTGATTTTTAGACATACCATTGGGCGAAGAGAGGTAACAGAAGGTACATACTAGGATTTGTATCAGACAAATCGTCCACCAACCCTAAGTTTCAGATGAACTGGTTATATACATACGATTTGCATTAACCCTGAGGCGACATACACAACGCCTGTTTATCTTGATGTGTGCGATTGGAAAGAGAAAATGTATTGCCCGTAGAGATGTCCAGCCCATGCCCATTAGTTTCAATTTCTGGCAATCACCGGCCAACCTTCGTCTTGGCATGCATTCGATTGACAAGGTCCCAGTACTAAAGCGCTACATAAAGAACACCGCCATAAACTGGGTCAATATAGCTTAGTGTCTAAGCCCTCCATTTTTGTTAATTGCAGCGTATCACTTATTTGCATGTTTAAAATTTTCTTTCCTAGTCAGTATATTTCTCCGCAAGGGATGGACCCGCTTCGGCTTGCGTTTTTACAAAAAGGAGCGTTCGTTTTCTTAGTAAGCTCGACCCAGGCGCTTTTCTCCGCGCCGAAAAGCTGGGGCAACCGACTATCCCCGGTGCGAACCACCCCAGACTTGGTCCTTTTACTGGGGAAACTCAATTTGTGGGGTAGCCAGGATACATAAGATCATGGACACCACCCCACCCCAATCTGAACGTCTTTGAACTAGGTCTCCCTCAATCACTCAAACTTTGGCTTATCTTTCTGCTCTTGCCACTTCATACCACCCATACCGGCTATGCGCTCGTTCCTTGGTCAGGGCAAGACCATCCAGGTCGGTTTGACGGTATGCTTCTTGATGGCCTTTGTGCTGTTTGGCTATGACCAGGGGGTCTTTGGTGGAATCTTGGAGAATGAAAACTAGTTGGACCAGTTCAACCATCCTTCCGATACGAAGACCGGTATCATCGTTAGCTGCTATAACCTCGGATGTTTTGCCGGGTGTCTCGGTACATTGAATATCCTATGGAGCCGCCTTAGGCTCATACGGGCGATCCTAGTACTTACTCTTCTATTTAACTACGTGGTTGGGGAAAAGCTTGGGAGACGCAGAACTATATGGCTAGCCATGGTCTTCGTAATTGTCGGAGCTACACTTCAAACTTCAGCTTTTACAGTACCTCACCTTGTGGTAGGCAGAATAATAACAGGCGTGGGTACTGGAATCAAAACTTCGACTGTGCCCATGTCAGTGTTCCCAATCCCTATTCGGTGCTGAGCTTAGCACATTCCGACCTTCACCTTCCGTCCTATCATTGTCCTTTCATACTGAAATTGTACATATAGGTACCAATCTGAACTTTGTGATCAGCGATCTCGTGGTCGTCTTGTCTCGGCGGAAGTTCTGTTTGTCGGTGTCGGTATCGTGATTGCATACTGGTTCGACTTCGGTATGTCATATGTGGGAGGCACCATTGCCTGGCGCCTACCCATTGCGGCACAAATCGTCTTCGCTCTCATCGTGGTGATCTTAGTCATGGGACTCCCGGAATCACCGCGATGGCTATATAAACACGGGAAACACGAAGAAGCGATGGATGTCCTTTGCAGAGTATATGACAAAGAGTCTTCGGATGCTTACATTCTAGCAGAACGGGACGCTATTAATTCCGCTCTCGAACTGGAGTCGGGAAGCGCAGAAGCCAAAAGTCTTCTAAGCTTATTCAGAACGGACCGTGTGAAAACAAGATACCGAGTCATCCTTGCCTGGTGGGTCATGTTTATGAACCAGGCGGGCGGGATCAATCTGGTTGTTTATTATGCGCCATGTAAGGCTGAAGCCCTGCCCATACTTGGCTCTGGTCAGGCATATGAATCTTTTTTCAACGGAAACTAATATGAGTGTTCAATTAGCGGCTCTTGTTCAAAATGTGGGCATGTCAGCGAGACTGGCTCAAATCCTTGCCGGGTTTATCAATCTAATGTTTGCGCTCGGATCAATCGTACCCACACTTGCTCTTGACCGTATGGGGAGGCGAAGAACAATGATGTGGGGCTGCACCGGCCTGTCCATCTCCATGCTTATGATTGCTGTTCTCCTATCTCGCTCTCACAGCCCCAATGGGCAAGCTTGCGCTGTGGGTGCCATCTCGTTCTTTTTTGTCTACATGTTTATCTTTGACATGACTGCCAACTGCGTCCCGTGGGTCTATGTCCCCGAGATCTTACCTTTGCAAGCACGCACCCATGGCTCAGCGATCGGCGTTAGTTCAAATTGGCTGTGGAACTTCACAGTTGTTATGATCACTCCTGTTCTCATCAACCGGCTACACTGGAAAGCATACGTCGTCTTTATGGCCACCAATGCGGCTTTTGTGCCTGCATTTTACTTTTTCTTCCCGGAAACCAGCAATTTGCGACTGGAGGAAATTGACATTATTTTCACGCGTCCTGGTAACCCGGTGCGGAACGCTCGGGACATGGCGAAGGAGATGAAGCTGTTTGGCCATATCTCTGAGGATACAGCTGGCGAGTTCGAACCCGCCCCAATGATAGAGAAGCATGAAAGCGACGAGCTATGTGAACATGCCTAGGTGTTGATGCTCCGCGAATTGGATGCCTTTGGCGTCGGGCGTGCCTCTAGTAGCAATTAGTCAGTTTTCTCTATCCCTTCTCTGTTCTTCCCTCCCTCCCATAAGCAGCCGGTCATTGTTCTTAGATATCGCCTGTACCCAATACATTACTCTCTACAGATCTCTTTCTACTTACGGTCGATATTCGAGGATTCCGACTCTGGATGCCTCTGGTGTGGCGCCTGCTGTTTAGTAGTTTGCTTACCTTCTCTCCTTTCTCTCTCTTCTTCGTTCTTCTTTCTCTCGTACGTGCAGATTTTTCTAGCTAGATCAATATCATTACTCTAGCCTCCTAGTTTGCCCTTCCGTCGTCAGTATAATTTTATCTTTCATCCTAATAGTTGCAAGGTGTAGAGGAGCCCTAGAAAAAATCCTTTAATGCTGCACACAATTAATGGAACTAGCAGCAGTACTTTGATATTGACACACGATTAATCTTAAACATGAAAAGTGTTCTCAAGCAAACCCGGGAACTGTTATTACTATAAAAAAACTGTAGAAAAGTTAACGCAGAATGTTGCTAACGGTCACTAAAGAGATGCAATTTCAGTGGCTTCCGTCGCACTACTCAACTTTTAATTTGCCAGTGGAAGCTAGGTTTAGCGCTTGGGCACGCTAAAAAAACGTACACGGCATCGGTATGTACTAGCTGGGGCATTATATGAGTATGTTCATGTTGAGATTACATGACCTGGGTGGTTACGTGACCCCCGATGGTCCTGAGATAGTCCGCGGAGGTTTGAAGTTTCTCTCCTTCCCCATCCGCTTTTTCAACCAATAGATTGCCATCTTCGCTTGCTTCTTTCCCGTATGTCAAGAGTTCATGTGAACACGAGAGTTCTCCATCTTCATATTGGTCCTGCTGAAGAAGGGATAGCCATAGAGATTGTTGATAGTATTGCCGTTTACCAGTTTGCCGAAGTTTAGATTATAATGCGAGTGAATAGCGGGTATAGTTTAGATATGGGATTGAATAGCAAGTGAAAGACCAATAATCAATTTAGCAATATGTAATACTCCTATGATAGATATTCATATCTAGCAATGCGTTGTAATACTTGAGCGTTTGCGCAAAGGCTTTTCTAACACAAAAATGGATACCGCACAGGAGAGTCCAGCCTCCTACTGTAGAAGGCTGCATTCCTGCCCAACCACCCAGTTTTGATACATATGTCGGGAGAAGAGGATCGCACAGCATGTAAAAAGACGCCTGTCTCTTACCGCAGCAAAATGAAAACGGTATAGCGTGTTAGGCACCCGCTTCGGTTGATGCCGCAGAGAGTCATTCCGAGGCAGTCTCTACCGGGGAGGTTGGTGGTTAGCTGGGAAGACAACGAGACAGATTTAATTTTGTAAACATGGCCGACATGTGACATACCATGTGATCCTTCACGAGGAAAAGTGCATGGACTTGAGCTTATATGTAGCTTTTGCATGGGAACAGTAGTAAGTTTGTCAGCCATCTTCTGAGCTTATTTCCAAGAAACTTACTCCATTTTTTCGTCATCTGTGCAGGCAGGCATGCTCTATGTGGGCTGCACTCAGCGGCTCAGAAGCCAAAGTAGTAAATCGCTAGAGTTCACCCACTTAGATTGTTCACGACGGTACTTTACTATGGTCGCTAAGAGCAAAGGAATAGCTATCTACGGGCTTCCTCCCAAGCCAATCGTTCCTACGGGAAAGCATCCGAATGCTACAGCCGCGTTACCTAGCATTGTTTAGAAGGAGGAGTTGCCCGACTGGTCTAAGAAGCGGCAGAAGCGAAGTTAGATAACATCAGCCGAGAGCGAGGGTGAAATGCGGTGGAAAAGGACCCATGGTCGAAAGAGTCATTTCTCCAGGTTAAGGTCACGAATCTGACGAACATTGCTAATACAATTGTCATGGTTCAATTAACGCTGCCCGAACTTCATAGCCAGTTCACAATTTCCAACGGTCCGTCAACTGTGGTCATCAGTGACCGGTTGGCCCCACTAGGGTGTTCATGCTTGAACGACAATCAGATCGCCTTCAACCGATAAGTCGTAGAGGCATACGATCTCTAACTTGAATATATCAACTGTTCAAGCCTTGTTTGACAGATCAAATACAAGCAATATGTATATACACTAACTTGGGGAAGCTAGTACTCCGACCCCTACCTGCTTTACTGGGCAACCATCGTTAAATTAAGCTTACGGGAGAATGCAATACAAGGAATCCGGAGCACTAAGCAATCGACATTGACCCAAAAACAGAGGATTGAAAAAGATTCTTTTTAATTAACGTGAGAAACCGGTACAATTCTTTTCTAGGGTCCGTTGGCTGGGGGCCACTAGTAAACTCGACCCACAGTTATGCGCCGAAGGCTTGCGCTCATGGGACCCCTGCGCTCATGGCCATCCTGATCTCCGGATGTCTCCTCAGGATCTGCGTCTTCAGGGGTGCAGCGTGGCTTCTCTCTCTCAGGGTTAATTGAATACACGTGGTTTTGACAACTAACCTCCCGATATGTGATTGGAAGAACTGCTTCTTTAGTTAACCTCCCTAGAGAGTATACTCATCACTTAACAGAATCTGTGTTATCAGTATTTATTCCCCATAAAATAGTCTTTGTTTTGCAATTTCGCTGATACATTGATGGTTCAGGGTGGCTTGCCCAGGTGGAAATGCAGAGTTAACCATATTGGTTAGTGGAAAAGGAAAGCTTGGCATGCTGGTCAGTCTGTTCACAGTAAATAGAAATTGTAAGCGCAAGCGACGTGCCAGTTGCAGTGAAGTGGGGATAAGATAAACCCACTGAGAGCCCGGCTAAACGTTATAGTTTCGGAACTTCTTGTGAACCTCTAACCCGGTGGTCACAATTGGTTCATTTGAGCCACTGCATTTAGAAAGTCGAGATCTCCAGATAATACGCTGGGACTGGTGTAGCCGGGGACACAATCTGATTATAGTTCAGACGTACTATAAAATGATGCATCACCTTTCAGGATAAAGGGAAAAAGAAGAAAGAGCATAGTCCAGCATGTGGCGGATTTAGTGATTGTACTAGCCCTGAATTACGAGTGAGACCTGACTGCATTCCCCTGCCTTCCACTAGACGTCGGAGAAGATGGTCCGAATATTGTGGTGAATGATGACCAGGACATCATTTACATCATGGCGCCACATCATCTTTCTATCTCACAAAGACGAAAGTCCGTGCAGGATTTTCATTCACGGAAGCATCCAATCACCGAAAAGATCAAGTACAGAGAAAGAACCCGCTCTTTCATACATAGGCTAACGACATATGTATAGACACTTTATCACACGATTGGGTAAAGATGGTGACACAATTCCACCAGAAAAGCAACCGTCGCACGAACCCAGTACTGTGTTCAATACTTCGGATTTGGCAGAAAAGCGGCATTTCCTGCTCCATCAAGACCTTCCGCCGATTGATACCTGTCTACGCACAACCTCCTGCTGCCCCTCTAGCGCAGAAATGAGGGCCCTTGAGGATCGCATCGAGAATGCCGAATTTGCTGGAGTCTCCAGAGGGCCCACTGCCCGCGACACTCAAGTTATCCTACGGATAAGAGGCATTCATGGCCAAGTTCAGTCAGTTCTGTGTCCATGGCAGGACTTCAAAAGTACTGTGGCACATAACAATCTGATCAGCCATGAAGAACGGCGCTACATCGAGAACAAATATTTGTTTGAATGATTGATAGTATTTGCATCTTTCAATTCTAAGAGAATATTTCAGGTCCCTTCCGATTAGCAATGACTGCAGCAATCTACGTCGTGAGAGTAACGGTAGGGCCGGTGGCCGATTGCGACTCTCAGTAATCTACAATAAACGGGTACATAGATGCGACAGTACGGTCTTGGTAAGTCCTCCGTCAGTAGTCTTCTTTTTTTAACTTTCTACCATAAGTATAAACTCCTTCTGACCGCTACGTAGGTGAAGGATGGAAGATATACTGAGAAAGAGTTTGGACTTGAGCTACTTTGTTTCTTTTCATGTCAAAAGAGAGCGGATAGGATAATGGATTCTTGTCCAGACGAGGGAGACCAAATATTGATAGGGCTCAATCAATTTGCACAGGTTAAAGAATCTAAAAAGTACCATTACATAGTCACAACAAGCCTGCCTTTCAATTGCTGGTTCATGTAGCGATCCGGAAGGTTTGTGCCCTCTTCGAGCTGAATAGTCTTCACATGGGACCATACCCCATTTTTGGTGACAAAATTCATCATACCAGAGATTAGCCGATGATTTGCGACAAGACTCCCTTTCACCACTAATTCCTTGAACATGATGCCAAATGCGGAGAATCTGAACCGGCTTTCAGGAATACCCAGCGGAACATAGATCTATCGGCATCATAGAAGTTGACGCCCAAAGATTCATAGTCGAGAGATGGTGTGCCTGTCAAAGGCTGCGTTGAGTCCAGGATAGTAGACAATGTGCTGAATAGCGGACTTCGCAAATTGGTCCACTCCTTTTCAGGAGAAAAATTAGCTCTATAGTATCACAAAGTCAGGACACGACTTACATTGTGTAAGGCTTTCACGGAACATTGGAATTCCGAAGGTGGAGGATGATTGTTCTTGGCGCCCTTTCGGAAGAAATAAACGGTCTCCTTGGGAAAGGCCGTTTTCCCACGAAGAAGTTCCGTGTAAAAGGCTGAGTAACCTGTTATGTTCGTTTTAATTTCGGTTGGTAGTTGGAAAGATTCACGAGCCTACCGCCAGATGTCAGAATCATGACTCAATGCTGGCTGCATGGCATGGAAAGAAAGGCTCTTGCATCTTGGAAAACATTATGTAAAAGATGTTGCGTCAGATTCGAAGCTACAGGTCGAAAAGCGCCATATTGACGCAAAGCTCTTTGTGTACTAGAGATAGTAGAAGCATTTTGCTTTGTAGCCAAATCGATAAGGGGAAGGAAATCTTTCGCATTCGGGCTGGTTCACACGAGAGCTACAACCCAAGTCGAGTAGAACGCGTTTTGACGACTATGACTCGCGGCGCTGCTAAAGTGATTGGGACCAGGAACGGGCTTCCTGAAGAGTTCTGGAAATACAAACGAAAAGACGTGAAGAACTTTATTGGCATCGGTTGGAAGATCGAACTGGATGATGAGCAGGGGCTGGATCCTCTTAACTTGCTCTAGCCCGCAAAATGCATAATTTATCCATAAACTCGGATTCTTATCAAATGGAAAGATAGTGTTTTTACTCTATAGGGACGATCTTTTATCCGCCGCATCACAACCGGCTTAGCCTTAGATGGCGATAGAGTGATTTATCAAAAAGCCGAAGAGCTTGAGACTACTTATCGTAAAAAGTATAGGTGGAATGATATCGAAGATAATGATTATGATGATGAACATAGCAACAGCGAAAGCGACGGCTCAATTAAGCAAGCCAGTGGTCGTAACAGAAGGCATCGTGGCGAGACTGCTCGTCACTCAAACCCACACAGACCGAAGACGAGAAGCCCCTTTAAGACCATTGAATATAGTAATGAGAGCGATACCTCTACTGAGCTAACACACAGCCGCCATAGAAGATACCGCAGCGAGCCAGCTCGTAACCCGGCCTTGTTCATCAAAAGACGGAAACTAGCCCCTGAAAAGACAAACGGCTCCACGGCTAAGATAAAACAGCTTAAACGGGAGATTCAGCAACTGAAGATACGCAGCTCGACCTCACCTCGAGAAGGACGCGAAGGGCAGCTAAGAGCTCGAGGCAGAGGCGATCGGGGGCGCGCAGCATGATAATCATTTACCTTTTGGTACTGTTATGAGCCGGTCTCAAACAGCCCGGCAATTTGTTTGTTCGGTGATTTTGCTTTTCTTTGGTACATCAAGGGGTGATGAAACTCAAAATCGTTCCCTTTTGCTTTTATTTTAGTTTATAGTGCATTCAGTTTAGCTTACAGACTGCCAGATTCAAGCTAGTTCCTCAATGATCGCACTTCCTTACCATTCTCCTCAAGCACACATACTTCCGCATAGATCGCTGTCAGCCATCTTATGATCATTGAACGGCAGTATCCGCATTGTAGTTACAAACGAAGACAGGGCTAGAAAGACCTGGTCATTATCTTCCTCAAAGAAACAGCACTGGCAGTTATTGGTGGTCGGGCAGGGACTTTGTGCCTGATCATTTCCTTCAGCGCAGATCATCTCAGTCACTTGGCTAATCTCTTAGGCGTCTCCCTTCGGAATGTTTGACTGATCCATCGCGCCTCCGGTCAGATCTGCTCGATTATCATACTTATCTCGGTATCGCACTCTAGAATCTACGTCGGGACTTGTGCGGGACCATTCGAGGGATGTGGTAAGGCAGCACCTGAATGAACGTGTGAACATGGAGGAACTAGAATATCAGCCATTATTATTTGAAATGTGATTCAGTGAATGTATACTTAAATCCTGTTTGGCGTGCGAGAAGTTCTTCAGAATGATCTATATCAAATTCCTAAAAATCTCACATTATGTAAGTCAAACTACCCCCCTGTTCCAGCAACCCTATTACTTACCCCATTTTGTGATGCCCCTATGAAACGATGACCGTTCAACCGTTGCGATAATGCGGGACATGCTTAGTGCCGCACTTCCTTTGAAATAACGCTGTCAGGCATTGTTAGCCATAGATTGATCAATAAGGCAGGCGGATCGTGGGGAAAGCGCGCTGTATTGAAGAGCAATGCAACCGGTGGTATCGTTATCCTATTTCCTCTTATTTAACATCCTTTACTAGCGAATATTTGTTTGAGATTACCGGGACATCGAAGCCAGGGACGTTCCTGCATGCTGTACCGGAATTGACAGCGAGTCAGGAGAAGAGAAGAGATCAGCAATGTAATGGTATTGAGGCTAACTGCTGATGGTTGACGATCTCTTGATGATGAGAAGGGGAAAAGAAGAAGAGAGAGGAGAGGAGACTATCTGGTTATTGACATGTAACAGTTCTGACAAACAAGGTCATGTGCCATGATCCCAACAGGAATCCAAGGCCAAAGACCATGTAATAATCGTTCCCTACTTACGAGAACTCACACTTCGTTTGGTATTTTATCCAAACCTATATATATTCTAAGGCTCCCCAGCGATCCTGTTTGCAGTTCCCTATTCCCCTACAATGGACTTTCGACCAGCCTTTCGTCCTTTCTCCCATCCTATATCGTGATCAAGGTAGACCTTAGTAATCACACCTGGGCGGAGTGTATCAGCGAAACAGCCAGCCGCCGGCCCCCAAGTCCCCCAAGTAGCTTCGAAGCATCGCCGCCTCTAAACACGTGGCATGTGTCTGCGCTATTGGGACATATTGTTAGGGGTCAGGTGATTCCTAGTTCTCGGGACTTATACAGCTTTCTCTCTCTTTCCTCGACAAAAGTGCATTCTCAATATGCTATTCCACGTGTTCAAAAATCCAACACAGCTCAGCTTTCAGGTCCCCGGACTCTTTGCCCGGACGAATCTCGCGTTAGACGCCCCCGTTTGATTGCTTTCATCGTCTCGGGGAGTTCTTCTTCCGAACTTAGGTGTTCAGGAGGAGTTCGAAGTCGACGGCGCTTTCTCTTGCCGGGGGGAAATGGATCAACGATGCCTTCGTCTAGCAATTCTTGTTGGTGTTCTGCTTCGGCGTATGAAAGAAAGTCATAGAGCTGCCTCGAGGAGATAGAGATATATTGATCGAGGTCAGTGTACTCCTGTGAGATGCTCGTGGGAGCAAAGTCCCTAAGCGACAGCCTGAATGCTGGTCCCTCAGCTGGTTCTTCGGCTGGAAGTCCAGATTCTGTTCGAAAAGGCTGCAACTGTCAGTATCCAATTCTCCTAAGATTGCGGCTCAAAGGGAATGTACCAGCGCTTCGACCTTAGCGATCGCCTGAAGTTCCTCCACGCCATCCACAGTTATATCCTCTGGTCGCCAGATGGATATAGTCGCTTTTTTAGACCCTCTATACTCAATGTTGAGGGCAATCACCGCTTTCACGTTCCCATTGGTGTCCAAGATGTAATCATCCGCTAAGTCCGCCGCAGCTCGAACTTTTTGCGTATAGCACACTTCTATAATAACACCGGGGTATTTTGCCTGCTCGTGCTTAAATGATGCATCTGGGCTGCGTTCAGAACGAGTCCGCTCTCCATTTTTTGTATTGTTCGGCAGCCAAATTCGGGTAGTGGATTTATGATCTACCTTCCTCGCAAAATCAGCGAAGGGTTTATCGCTCTGTTGAAACTTCCCCAATTGGGCTAAAATTTCAGAGACTACCCTGGCACAAAATATATCATGGAGAGGAGCCGGCATTCGGATAGTCACAAGGGACCGGTAAGGGTCGTAGTCAAGCCTAGAATACAACTCAACAAAAATGCCTTCAATACACATGGAAATTGGCAGTACTCACCTTACTTTGTCTTCCACGTAACCTCGAAGAGATTCGTCACCATCTAGCAGACGCAAAACCTCTCTATAACTGTCCGGAATCAGCCGGTGCTGCCACCAAGGCTGTGGTGGCCTTTGACCTGCACGATGGAGTTCTAAACAGTCCAGAACGGCTTGAGCACTTCTCGACAATTCTTTCTCTTCCGTGGGCGGCGGCGTGAGGGGAGGGTTCAGGAAACTCCCAGGTGGAGTACTCTCATCCATAAGGTGTGAATCAGACGGCATCCTTGGGATATGGGTTGTTTATGCTCCAGAGAAGGGGCTAAGCGCTGGATGAACTTGAGTGTCACGTGCTGATAAGGTGGTTGGCCGCCCTAGGGGTATTGTGTAGTAACAAGGCCCCTAACATGTATGTAATGAGGTCCACCTAGGCGTTAAGCACGAGTATCGAGTTGGTGTCTGGGGTCGCAGAAGCAGGCATTCAGACGATGGAAGTGGCGAAGTGCAGATGCCAAGGCGTGGTTTGTGGGAGATGGGAGAATCTTGCCCAATGGTTCCCTGGAGGTTCAGCTGAAGGGTCCATGCAGTGGTCGCTGGGCCGACACAGTGATTTCTCATTGGATTCTCCGTTTACCTACATGTCGGTTAGTGTGCATTTCAATGTATACGTGTTTTGAGAGGCGACCTTGGGATCAGAGCCCTGGAGGTAGGCATGGGTTACATAATTCCCGGGCGGATAACTATAACGTGTTTTGTCGAGTACCAGGCATGGTGCATGGTAGGAATTACCAAGTCAATACAAACCGGAAAAATAAATGGACCGCCATCATAACGGTACCATACAAAATTACATACATTGCTTAATCATCGTTGTCCGTATATAGACCTAGCAGTGACCCGCGGGTGACCCTCACGACTGTTACGAGCCAGGTCTTTGTGAGAAAGAGTGCATTTAACCAGAAAAGCAAAGATGGGGAGAAAAGAAGAAGAAGTGCAGAGAGAGATCCAGAGGGGTTTAAATAGCTGGATCAAACAAAGAAACAAAGAAACAATCCTCTTTCCCAAATAGGCTTAGTAGGCATGCCCAATTAGGCATAGTAGCACTCCATCAAACAAAGGAAGAAAGCAAACAAAGAACGCAGGCAAACAAAGAAAGATAAGAACGATCTTGACATGTGATAAGCATGTGATAATTGTCGATCGTGACAACGACCCTCCACCCGCCCCGCCACTAGGGTGGTCCGAGGGTCCAACCTTCCGACCCTTAGGGTCGTCAAATAGTACAAATAGGCAAATCTTATAATATATATAATTTATACAGATTTCCTCTATAATTTCAAGTATCCTAATTATATTATATGCCTAAACTTCTTAAGCAATTGATTTAGGGATATATTGTTACGATAACTTCTAATATATATTCTTAAACCTAGTTTCTATCTACTATATATCTATTAAGCCTTTTTAATACCTTCCGAACTCTTCTAGACGATCGAGGGAGAGGAATTTCACTATCTTTATCTATACCGTCTTTATAATTAGATTATATATCGTTATCTTTACTTAGTAAGCTACTTCTCTATCTCCTCTTAAGTATAGTATTAGATAATAGTTATAAAGTCGGTCGGGACTAAGTTTATTTAACTATATTTTCTTTAGTATTACTAATTAGTTTAAATAATATAGTCTTTATACTACTTACCTTTATCGAAGCTATAATCTCCTAGGAAGATAGGTACTTCTAGAGAATTAGCCGCTAATTGTCACGTCCTACACCATACAAAGCAAGGTGCAGAACCCGCCTAGACCTGAGATGGCACCTTCAAGGTGGACCGTCGAAGGTCTTCGGGGACCTACATAGACATATCAATGGCCTGCGAGATATATGGGTCTAATATATATGATCTCGCTTAGGTTGCGCACATTGCATAACTAGTGGATTCGGAACTATAAACAAGGGTTCATAGTTTAGTTTAAATATATACGCAGTGCTAGTTGCAATTGTTTCGTAGTAGTAATTCCGTATTATATATGCCTTTAGCACTCTAATTATACCCCCTCTAAAGGCCCTTTATAGTAGGTCTTTATATTCTAAACTATCTTATTTTTAATCGGACCGCTACTAGTAAAACATAGTACCTATACGTCGAACCCGCGTAACCACGGAATAAAGTAAGGAGATACTAGAAGGGGCTATAGAAGATAACTTCGATATAGACCTCGGTACCTCCGAAAATAAATACGAGAGGGAATAGGTAGGTTCTACGAACCTAGCTAAACCTATCGCGGAAGAACCAATTTCTATTACGACCGTCGAAGATAACGAAGAAACTAAGGAGTTAAAGATAGTAAAGGCCCGCGTATAATAGCTTATAGAACTTAAAGAGTATTTAGAGATATAAGCGTAGATAGAGAAACGTATAGCGGAATTAAATACGAAGGCTAAGCTAAGTATTCCTTTAATAAGAATAACGTCGTTAATAAATATAGATCTCGATAACGATAGGGAAGAAGATAACGAAATAAGCTTCGGAGTCCCCCTAGCATACTATATATTAAGTACGAGATATCCTCCGTACCTAATAAGTATTATAAAATACTCTAGAAAAATACTCTAATAGTATAAGATATAGTAGACGCGCCTAAATAACTACTTCGGACAATACCCGTACTACTTTAAAGATAATACTACGAAGATAGGTAGGGGGGTCGAGGTCCTTAATAGCGATATAATAATAGTATAGGAATCCTATATTACTAAACCTAAAGTACTAAAAACCTATACGGAGTTTATCCGATTCCTATAATATATAGTAGATAACCCTCGGGTTATCTATCGGGAAGTAGAGGAATAATAGATATATTACTAGTAGAGGCTAGGCTAATCGGTTATAATATTATAAAGACCCACTATAAAGGGTCTTTAGAGGGGGTAAGATCAGAGTGCCAAAGGCATATACAATACGGATCACTACTACGAAGCAATTGCAACTAGCACTACGTATATATTCAAAATGAACTATGAACCCTTGTTTATAGTTCCGAATCCACTAGTTATGTAATATACGTAACCTAAGCGAGATTATATATATTGGACCTATATATCTTGTAGGCTATTGATATGTCTACGTAGGTCCCCGAAGACCTTCGACGGTCTACCTTAAAGGTACTATCTTAGGTCTAGGCGGGTTCTATACCTTGCTTTATATAGTATAGGACGTGATATTACCTCCTTCCTTTATACTCGTCGACCTCGGCGTACTCTAGGTTTTCCTCTATAAACCTATCTCCTTTATCCGGTACGGTTCTTCTTTATTAAAATAGGGTATTCCGAAGCTTCTTAGCTAGGTTTCTACGGCGGTAGCGAGGTTTTTATTCTTTATTATCCGTTATTCGGCGTATTAAGTACGAGGTTTTTTGTCGACTATAAGATTCTTTATAACTATAGGTTTATTTAAATACTATTTTTGCCCCCTTTTTCGAAGGAGTATACCCCTATACTCGTCTTTTATAATATAGCTTTAAATAATAGGACTATAAACTAGGTTTTTAACCCTATACCTACGACTCCTATAGAGATATAGTATATACGCTATATTAATTCGATTATAAAGATTCCTATAGATTATATTAATTCCTTAGCTAGTAATAAGTATAATTACTACTAGATTAATTATTAAGCTTATATTATAATAAATATATTTTACCTTCTTATATATCTTCTTCTAATATTATCTAGGTCGACCCCTATCTTAATAATATAGCGAACGCTATTATACTAGTACCGAATATCCCGGCTCGGAACGCTACTTATAAAACTTTTATTAGTACTTATAATACTCTCTACTCTTAGATTAATTAAAGACTTACTCTAGTATTTATTATATAAGTTATATTAGTACTAGTACTACTAGTACCGCTAGTTATACTATTAGTTATACTACTAGTTATATTATTATTACTACTTATAGTAGTATTTATAATACCGCTTATTATATTATTACCCTTTTTACTTTCTTTATCTTTACCGCTAATAATATTCGAAGTATAAGAAGAATAGTTTAATAGAATATTAGATAGGTTTATATAATATTTTATAGATATTTAGATAGGACTTATAAGGCTTTTATATATATTCTTATATTTTCTAATATCTAGGTCTTTTTTCTCGGGTCTTTTATAGAATATTTACTTATAGGTTTTTATAGAGACTATTATTATTCTTATAGTATAAAAAGTCTTTCGTAAAGACTTTTACTCTTATATCCCTTTATTTTTTATAAAGATAATATATCTTTTATTAGTCTATCTAAAGATTTATACTTCTTATTAATCTTTAAGATAACGCCTATTTTACCGACTATAAGACTATAAGTTATCTTATTTAATATCTTTAGTCTAATAGATTTATTATAGGTTAATAATAGCGAGAGCCTCGCTATAGAGATTACTACTCTTATATTTTTATTAACTATAATTTATAAATTATACTTAGGATAGTTTAAAAGAGTCTATAAATTATTCTATTTCTTTTTTAAATCCTATTAAGACTTTTATAACTTCTTTTAAGTCGTCTTTTATAGATTAGATTTTTTAAATTAATTTATTATAACTATATTATCTAATATATTATTTAGTTCTTAGATATTCTCGCTATCTTTATAGCCTTTCTAATATATTAGATATTAAAGGCCTTTACCTCTTTTTTTAATCTATAAAATATAGTCGACTTTAAATTTAGATTCTTTATTAACTTTAATAAAATCTAGCCGCTTATTATAAATTAGTTTATCTTTATAGGATTTTAATATAGAGATATATTATATAGTATAGATTTTCCGATATAAAAGAATTAATATTAATTAATATATTTATTATTTTATCTTATAAACTATTTAAAAGGATTTTTTATAATAATTATCTAATTTTCTAAAAAAGCGTTTTAAATTAATATACTTATTCCGAAGTAATATCTAATTAGTTATTATAAAGATTTTCTTTATATAATTCTTATTTATAATCTTTTTTATAATATCTTTTATCTTTTATAACCTCTCTCTAAGCTTTTCTTACTATTCTATAAGCTCCTTTATATATTTTTTTATATCTTTATAAACCTCTCTATTATCGTCTTTAATATTTAATCGAAGTTCGGATCGGATTCTTATAAAAGCCTCGCTTAAAGATATATCTAAAGCTAAATATATAATTATATTATATATATACTATATAAAAAGAATCTACCTAATCTAGTTATTTTAATACTAACTAATATAATTATAAAA